ATAATCGTTATTCGACTTAATTAACGATAACCACACCGGTTAGCAAACAGTCAATTTGCACTAGGCGAAAGATAGACAAAACGATAGAAAGAATTGATGAATCGTAATGAAATTACACCTACCCCAGTGCCCCCCCCCCCCCCCAGATCTATAGTTGTTTTTTTATTGTTGTTGTTGTTGTTGTTGTTGTTGTTGTTGTTGTTTATTTTGTTGTTGTTGGATTTTTATTTTTTATATTTTTTTGGGGGGTGGGTGGCTGTTGGAGAGTGGGATGGTCAAATAAAAGCCTATGGTTCTACTGAAGTATAATAAAAACCAAGAGGGTAGACAGTCTTTGGATCAGCATATCTTGAACAATATAAGTTTATGCTAGCAATTATTTGTACTGCATGGATATGTTTCTATTTCTCAGAGACAAACAGCAGCGTAGGAAATTCAAGTTCTCTAGAATCGCCAAGTGGGATTTATATATCTGGAAACTTCTCTTCTGGAAATGCCACAAATGGAAACGTGTCTACATCTTATGCCATATATACTACAAGTGGAGATTTCTCCACTGGAAACTTCTCTTCGGGAAATGCATCAAGTGGAAACTGGTCAAGAACTTTCGCCGGAAATACTACAAATGGAAATTTCCCTTCTGGAACTCTGACTGCAGGAAATACCACGAGTGGAAATTGGTCTAGATCTTTTACCAGAAACACTACTAGTGGAAACGTCTCTTCTGGAAACTTCTCTTCTGGAAATGCCTCTTCAGTAAATGTCTCTTCTGGAAATTTCTCTTGTGGAAACTTCTCTTCTGGAAACTTATCTAGAAACGTCTCTTCTGGAAATGCCTCTTCAGTAAATGTCTCTTCTGCAAACTTCTCTGGAAATGCCTCTTCTGTAAATGTCTCTTCTGGAAGCTTCTCTTTTGGAAATATCTCTTCTGGAAACTTCTCTGGAAACATCTCTTCTGGAAACGTCTCTTCCGGAAATGTCTCTTCTGGAAACTTCTCTGGAAACGTCTCTTCTGGAAATGTTTCTTCTGGAAATGCCTCTTCTGGAAACTTCTCTTTTGGAAATATCTCTTCTGTAAATGTCTCTTCTGGAAACTTCTCTGGAAATGCCTCTTCTGTAAATGTCTCTTCTGGAAACTTCTCTTCTGGGAACTTCTCTTCTGGAAAAATCTCAACTGGAAACGTCTCTTCTAGAAACTTCAATTTTGGAAACATCTCCTCTGAAAACTTTTCAAGAAACGTCTCTTCTGGAAATGTCTCTTCTGAAAATGTCACTTCTGGAAATGTCTCTTCTGGAAACTTCTCTTTTGGAAATATCTCTTCTGTAAATGTCTCTTCTGGAAACTTCTCTTCTGGAAACTTCCCTTCTGGAAACTTCTCTTCTGGAAACGTCTCTTCTGGAAACGTCTCTTCTGGAAACTTCTCTTCTGGAAACTTCTCTTCTGGAAACGTCTCTTCTGGAATCTTCTCCGGAAACGTTTCTTTAAACGTCTCTTCTGGAAAGATATCTTCTGGAAACTTCTCTGAAAACTGTTCTCCTGGAAATGTCTCTTCTGGAAACCTTTCTTCTGGAAATGTCTCTTCTGAAAACTTCTTTTCTGGAAACGTCTCTTCTGGAAATGTTCCTAGAAACGTCTCTTCTGGAAACATCTTTTCTGGAAATTTCTCTGGAAACTTCTCTTCTGGAAACTTCTCTTCTGTAAATGCCTCCTCTGTAAGTGTCTCTTCTGTAAATGTCTCTTCTGGAAACTTCTCTTCTAGAAACGTCTCTTCTGGAAACTTCTCTGAAAACATCTCTCCTGGAAATGTCTCTTCTGGAAACCTCTCTTCTGAAAATGTTTCTTCTGGAAACTTCTCTTTTGGGAACTTCTCTGGAAACGTCTTTTCTAGAAACTTCTCGTCTGGAAACTTCTCTTCAGGAAATTTCTCTTCTGGAAGCGTCTCTTCTGGAAACGTTTCTTTTGGGAACATCTTTTCTGAAAATTTCTCTGGAAACTTCTCTTCTGGAAACTTCTCTTTTGTAAATGCCTGTTCTGGAAATGTCTCTTCTGGAAACTTCTCTTCTGTAAATGCCTGTTCTAGAAATGTCTCTTCTAGAAACTTCTCTTCTGTAAATGTCTCTTCTGGAAACGTCTCTTCTAGAAACTTCTCTGGAAACGTCTCTTCTGGAAACGTCACTTTCGGAAATGTCTCTTCTGGAAACTTCTCTGGAAACTTCTCTTATGGAAACATCTCTTCTGGAAACGTCACTTCCGGAAATGTCTCTTCTGGAAACTTCTCTGGAAACGTCTCTTCTGGAAATGTCTCTTCTGGAAACATCTCCTCTGGAAACTTCTCTTCAGGAAGCTTCTTTGGAAATGTCTCTTCTGGAAACGTCTCTTCTGGAAACGTCTCTTCTGGAAACTTCTCTGGAAACTTCTCTTATGGAAACATCTCTTCTGGAAACGTCACTTCCGGAAATGTCTCTTCTGGAAACTTCTCTGGAAACGTCTCTTCTGGAAATGTCTCTTCTGGAAACATCTCCTCTGGAAACTTCTCTTCAGGAAGCTTCTTTGGAAATGTCTCTTCTGGAAACGTCTCTTCTGGAAACGTCTCTTCTGGAAACTTCTCTGGAAACGTCTCTGGAAATGTATCTTCTGTAAACGTCTCTCTTGGAAACTTCTCTGGAAACGTCTCTTCTGGAAACTTCTCTTCTGTTGTCAACTCGACCGTAATGCAAGTTCCAGCAAGAAATGTCACCAGTGGTAATTCTTCAGGTCTTCCCTCTGCGAACTACACGAATGGCAACCAGTCTCTGAACAGTGGATTCATAATACTGGGGTGAAGACTTCACTCGAAAACCTACGAAGAACAATTAAGATCTGAAATGTGCTCTTTTTTAATGTTCTCATTTATTTTTTTATTTCGCTTTGTAATACATACATGTGGTAGTGGTACTTTTATCTATGTTTCAAATGGAAAAAAAATACCACGTCGGTACATTTTTCACTTTATGAAAGCTGATGGAAATAAATGTCTCTTGTGATAAAATATGTCGATTATTTCATTTGTAAATTTCGTTTGTTTTCTTTTTCTGTCAAATCTTGAAAGATTTTCATAACAAGGCTTCGGCTATCTTTACAAAAGAAGATAATTCAAGTTCAGTAAGATCAAATATCATCATAGTCTGAGCGTATTACGCTCTACGTTATCCAGAGTCAGATAACAGTTCAGTGAGATACGCGTATCTCTCTCTCTCTCCTTCTCTCTCTCTCTCTCTCTCTCTCTCTCTATCTCTCTCTCTCTCACACACACACACACACACACATACACACACACACACACACAAACACACACACACACACACAGTCCTCCCACCATCTCTCTCACTCCTCCTACCATCTCTCTTTCTTTCTCTCTCTCTCTCTCTCTCTCTCTCTCTCTCTCTCTCTCTCTCTGCTCTAACAAGGTTCCAACAACAGAGGTCCAACCATAGACTTAATCCTAAAACAGTGACATGAAATCTAAATTTTTAAAAAGAGATTTGATAAAAACATCGAACATGGCTATTCTATTTTTGTACCTACATGACCCACAGCTAATGTGCCTTCGTTGAATGTGTACACGTTTTACATATTATTTTATTGTAACATGTGTCACATTGAGTGTGCAATTGAGGGAAAGGGGGGGGGGGCAGAAAGCTGGGTGCACTTTGGTGCTGGCGTAAATTCCCAATCAGTGGCCTGGCGTGACCTTGGTCTGATAATAATAATATTATCAGAGATTGTCGTGTTGTTGCCTCCCTGTGCGGTGGCGAGACTTCGCTACTTTAGAATTTTGCAAAGGTCTATCTGAAGTTTTTGGTCGTTTTTGTGTGTGCTTTTTTAAAAGTTAGATCTACTTAGACCATGAGGTGAGAAACCAAATGTTTTATCTGTTCTATAAAAATGGTACAGTCGTATGATATTCAAAGAACTGCCTTTGAAAAAGCTTGTAATGTTGTGAAACTCAAAACTGTTTAGTAGGTCAGATATCCCAAAATTACGTACTGAGCAGATAAAACTTTGTAAATCAAGGGTAGAAACTTGTAACAGGAATGAAATTAATGACAGAATGAGAAGTAGCATTGGCATTAAGCCTACATCTACCGCAGATCTCTCTGCGTTTTCCTTTTCCCCAACTCTGGTAACATATATATATATATATATATATACATACATACATATATATATATATATATATATATATATATATATATATATATATATATATATATATATATATATATATATATATATATATATATAATGTGTGTGTGTATGTGCGTATATATATATATATATGTATAGTTTTGTTTGTTTGAGTAGCGAGAAGCACATCGACACAATAATGGTTATTTAGTGGTGGGAAAAAGTAAGACAGACGAGAAACAAGAGGGGACATAAAGAAGTCGGATCTACCAGTGGCACCCTCCAACCACCCATGTATAAGCAAGCTTATATAGTCGTAAAGCACACGGCAAGCTGTATTGAGCACGGAAGGAGCTAAATAACTGCAAATTATGATTATTATTACTACCCGTGCATCTCGAATACATGTAACGTGTAGTCAATCTCCATTAGACTTTGATAAATGATACTAGGGGAGGGAAAAGATAAAGATGAGGAGAAAAATTTTTACTGGTAAAAGTAAAAGAAAGGAACAATGACTAACAAATTGACATTGGGTGATCTGTTTAATATAATAAAAACGATTCCATTCGTTAAAGGTACAGTACAGTGTATGTAAACTTGCTCCCTTTTTCATATATGTAGTCAATGAGAATTGGTAAAGATCACAAAACTAAACCACAGTTCAGAGTTATGTCAGCTCATTTAATTTACTTTTGGTTTCTTCAATCAGAAATCAGTTGATCTTTGGTAGGTAGTGTATGTAGGTCATTCATCGTTCCTTTGTGAACGCGAATTCGACACACAGTCGACTAAGGACGTGTTGATATCAGGGGAGTGAAAAATAGATCAACTCATCTGAAGGTTTTTTTTTGCTTTTTTATTTGGTAAGTGTTTTACAACGCTCGCAACTGCATAAGGTCATACGAGCGCACGGAACACATTAAACTTTTTCAGTTGGTAGAAAATTTTGAATTTTGCCCGGGTGGCGGCCGAAGCCTACTCTTATCGATTTTAGACCACCAAGGGATCTTTAACGTGTGCAAATTACATATTTTATGGGGCCTCTGAGATTTGTTTCGCGCTTGTCCGAGAAGGCTAGGTGTAGATCTTTCCTACCAGATGATCAGGGGTGTGGCTGAAAACTGGCATCTGCGTTTGTCGCGGCCGCGATTTTTGCATTTTTCAAAACAAAAACAAAAACAAAAAGACAAAACAACAAGGCTACTTCATAACATATTAGACATACTTGTATTTGGATAAGTTTTAGGATGTCCATGTGTATCTATTTTCATGCGGAGAATATAAGTAAAAATGTACATTACATACTACTATTGCTGTTTGTCTTTTCCTTTTATTTTTCCCTCTTTGTTGTGTTTTAATTTGTTGGTGTGTTAATTTTTCAAAAAATTGTTCTGATGATTTGTTTTCTTTTTTTGTGTTTATACAACGTAATGTAATTACTTTGATGCTGTTCCTACCCTTTCAAAAATACAATGTGTTATGTTAGAGCGTGTCTCCACCAAAACCGAATACTGACACTGGCACGCCCCAATTGTTCGTGATTCCATAATTTACGTGTAATATCCTGCAGGCCTACTTTCTCTTGAATCACACACACGTTTAGGGTTAAAACAGCCAATCTTCGGATATGTGGACACGCGCCCTAATTTGTTAATTGTTGTGGTTATGTCATGTATCCGCGCTGTTCTGATTTGAATTTTATTCTGTTGTGAAACCTTTATTTTTCACGTTTTTACCCTCTGGGTGACTACAAATGATATTCTGGATGCTCAAAACAGAGCACAAGAAATTCTGATGCTTTAGATTAAATTAGATTGTTACCTCTATCAACATATTGCTATATACGTCGTCACAGAGAGTTGAAAGCTTGAAAATTAATGGCAACTTTTTTGGCAGTTTTGCCACTTTTTGCAACTTTTTGACAAAAATATGGCAACAAACGCAGATGCTAGAGCAGTAAGAAGGAGCCAAGGAGTAGCAGTAGAAAGGCTGCAGAAAGAGTCAGGAGCCAAGAGGAGGGGGCAAAGGAGATTGGGGAATGGGGACAGAAAGTGGAGTCAAAAGCAGACAACAGAACATTGCTACAGAGCAGGAAAGGAAATGAAGGGAGACAATTTTGGAGAACATTTTTGGTCGCTATCAGGATTCGAACCGGGGACCTTTGAATGAGAGGCGAACACCTTAACCTCTAGGCCACGAGAGCCCCCATCCAAAGTTCAACTTAACCGTTGGGAATTGTAAAGAAAACGAGGTGCAGGGACTCGAGAAAAATAACTTAACCGAAGATCAACTGAACAGTGTTCTACTGAAGCGGAGTCGACTATACAAGTGTTAGAATTTGCCACCGCCCCCCCCCCCCTAAAAAAAAAAAACCCATCGCACCTGTTAACCACAAGAATCCACCATTCAAATTAAATGTATCTTTCCAAAAATTCCCTGTTCACAAGGGCAAAAGCTCAAACTGGTCAGCGGCAAGATTGGTCTGAGTCAAAAAGTTTGTTTTGATCAAGGATTCGCCCAGGCTCCTACTACAAAGATCTGCTCATCCATTTCACTCAATGTGCACTCCAAGTTGACAAATAAAATTCAGCAACTCTTGGTTTTAGTTTCAGTAGGAGTTTTACAGCACTTGCAACACATATGGGTCATATCAGTGCCGAAGATTAGAGGTGTTGTTACATGTGTACTAAAGAGAAAAAAAAAAAAATAGGAGAGATCGATAGATGTTTGACCACGAAAACAGGAGTTAACTACACCAGAGCACCCACAAACACCTGCGATAGAAGTTCGATAGGAAAGAAGGAGCTAACAAACCACACCAGAGAACCCGCCACCCACCCACACAGCATCTCTCATAAAACAAATGGCGGCGCTGGTAGTCTTGCGGTTAAGCTTCTGCACTCGCAATTGTGAGATTACAGATTTGGGGTTTCGAAGCTAAGCTCAGTCTGACGTTGAATTTGAATGCTCGGGAAAGGCACTTTGCGCAAACTTTCCCATTTAATTTGGCTGGTATATACTATATACTGGAGATGTACGTTACATTAAGACATCCCGCTTTTTACACAACCTTACAGTGTTGCGAGGAGTGTAAAACCTATACAATCTCACATTTCACAAAAACAAATGAAACTCGAGCCTCAGCTCGGTCCCACATTGTGTCCTTGGGAAACGCACTTTACACGGTTTTCCCAATTGGTCCTTTCGGAGATGGACGTTAAACTTGGAAGTCCCGCCTCTTAAATAACCTAACAGTGTTGATAGAGGCGTTAAACTTAATTACTTATATTATTTCAGCATTTCAAACAAATCAAACAATAAAACAAAAACATCTGAGTTTCAATAAACAAATGAATGTTTACTTACGACATTGTTCAACAAGGCTTGAGTTCACGGGTAGCAGGAAAAAGTATCACAATCAGGACAAACTACATGTGATTCAAACTGGTCAATAATATCTAATGTCATCATAAAACCTCTCAAGCAGCCATAGACGATTCTCACATCTTGATACCCCCCCCCCCCCCCAACCACACATACACGCAAAAAGGGACTGGGGAATAATAAAGATTCAGAAAGCAAGATTCACATACCATAACACTCTCTCTTTCACTGTTCTATGGACACATGTATTACATTACAACGGTATGTGAACATGTATTACAATATATATATATATGGACACACTGGTACAAGAACATGTATTATTACTACACACTTTCTCTCACTGGTTGTTTGTTTTACTAGAGGTTTTACGACGCTCGCAACTGTATAAGGTCATATGAGCGCCAGAAGATTAGAGGTGTTACAAGAGAGTAACAAACATAAGTAAGAAGAAGGGGAGATAAGGACAATAGATGTTTGATAGGAAAGAAGGAGCAAACCACACCAGAGCACCCGCCAACCACCCACTTCTCTCACTGGGACACATTGGAACATGAATATGTATTAAAACACTTTCTTTCATTTCGTTAGTTTGACGAGTGTCTAATTTCATCACGATGCCTCACATATATATATATACATAATTTCCACCGAGAGCAATGCCTACGATATTCTGTACGGTACAGCTGAACCTGTCCAAAGGATCACTCTCCACTTCCCCATTTGTATTTTATTTTTATAATAACAATGACACTGTCCAAGACGTACGTCCACCCGTCTAGAACAACCACTTTTCTCCTTGACAAAGGTGGCTTTCACAGACAATTTCGACTACTTTCAATGCACAGATACAATTAAACACATCCCAAAAATGTGACAAGTGGAGGGCAGTCAACAGTGTTCCTACAAATGTTTATGTTTAACCATGCAACAGAAGTGACCTGTTATTTTTTTTCTTCTCCATCTGCAACTTTGGAAATAAAACAAAACGACAGAAAGTAATACAAAGATCATCGCCAGGTCTTTCCAAACAGCCTAAGTACATAACGATCGTTAGTTACCTTTACAACTCCAAGATGAAAAGCAGGAAAACTAATTGCAAAGACGACTGAACAAATTGATTTTCGTGGTGAGAAGAAAAAAAAAGTCGCATTTTAGTTTTTAGTAATGAAATGAATGTCAACTAAATTTAAAATTATTATTCACTTCCTTTTTCTTTGGAGCAAAGGGTGTCAGAATCAACAGTTACATACTTTTATATATATATATATATTATTTACATACATGTATACAGCATTTACATGACAAATATATGTTTTTAGCATTGCAACCATAAATATTACAACAGCTTGCTTTGCCTCTTAGTGTAACTAAAAAATATCAAGGTCTCATCATCTTTTTTACACTTGCAGTAATGGTAATGATCAAATAGAAAGCTTGGTGTAGAGGGACTTCCACATCCGGTTTTATACCTTTATGATCTGACCTGATCACAGCACACACAGTAGCACATTCCACAAAGAATGAGAGACAATAGCTTCAGGATCGGAAAAAACATGAACTGAATGAATGTAGTGGGGTACTCTGAAGGCGGGAGACAGATTTTTATTACAAGTAAAATCGTGTCAAAGTTTAGGAAAAGTTTTTCGACACTTACAACACAATAAGGTCATATATATAAGAGCCGAAGATCAAAGGTGTTACAAGAGAGAAACAAACACTAAAAAGAAGGAGAGAATTGGAAGGATAAATGTTTGACAGGAAGGAAGGAGCAAACCATACCAGAGCACCAGTCAACCACCCACTCTCATCATTTTTCACACTTGTAGTAATAGTAAATATCAAATAAAAAGCTTTGTGTAGAGAGATTTCCATATTCGATTTTAGACCGTTATGATCTGACCTGATCACTGCACACACAATAGCACATTTCACAATGAATGAGAGACAATAGCTTTAATACTGCTTCATGATAGGGAAAAAAAATATGAACTGAAGGAATGTAGTGGGGTACTTTGAGGGTGAAGGACAGATTGATATATATATTATATTACAAATAAAATCTTGTCAAAGGACTCTGAGGTAACGACACTGAAAAATTAATAGGGTTCGGAAATCTTTTCCAACCGAGAACGACATGAAAAAAAATAATATGGAAAAGCGAATCATTTCTTTTACAGACATATTCAACATAAATCATTTTAACAACGTGATTGCAATTGTGCCGCTGTGTCTGGACACTAAGCATAACAACCATATAAAAACAGAAAAAGACAATAGAAACAGAAAAGATCATATCATACCAGAACACCCATCAACTAACCCCATACATGTTACAATTGAAAACATGCGTGATTTCTTTGAAAATAAACCCATAACCACGTGATTCTCTGGTCATGGCACAATATGTCATTCCAGCTACATGAAATGACAAATGAACAACACACATAACACCGGTCAATAAATACAAGATAAACAGTTCCAACATTATCCTCTCTGAGCACATCATGACCACTGAAGAATGATCAATCAAAAAATCAAAAGTTGACCCTCCAAAAAAATTAAAATAGTACTCCATTTTGTGTGCAAGCTGGAAAGCTCAGGCAGCTGTGCTGTAGAAGCATCCAGTGTTTGCTTGTAATGCAGCTCTCCAAATTACTGCGTATCTTTGTTCTTGAAGTAAGACTGGATTTTCTTCATTCCCTTTATGGTCTGAAAAAAAAAAAAAAGAAAGAACATTTAAACATAGAGGAGGTGGGGTTTTTTGTTGGGTACATGTTTTAGTTTAGTTTTAGTAAGGTTTTACGGCACTCGCAACTGCATAAGATCATATGAGCACCAAGGGGTGGATGTTAACAGAGAAGTCCAAACGCGGAATCAGACTTACTCTGCTCACCTCTCTAGCCTCAAAATCACAAAGTCTGCTTCGACTATCAAGGCACCCATAAAGTAGCAGTTCACAAGAGAGTGACAAACATAAAAAAGAGGGAAAATGACGATAGTAAGGATGAGCGTGCGGGGACACATTAAACCCTTTGCAAAAAGAGTCAGGAGCCCAGAGGGGGGGGGGCAGAAATTGGAGACAAAAGCAAACGACAGAACATTGTTAGAGAGCAGGAAAGGATGAGAAAGGAGATCACTCTCAAAACATAACAATTACTACCATGTTGTAAAGTATCAATTATGAAGCCATGAGAGCATTCCATTAGAGTGAACACACTCAATAAGTGGCCCCTCTATCCACGAAATAAAAAAAATGATGCAAAAAGCGAAACTGACATTAGTGACTGCTAAAACTAAAAAGATAAGAAAAGTTTTGTAAAACAGACAGAACTGACATGAAAATGAGAACAAAAAAAGCTAGGTTTAGGACTTCTGTTCGAGTAAGTGCCCCAGGAAGTACTCACAAATATGATATGTGCCTTGCCTGTGTAGTGAAATGAATGGTAGTTTTATAATGAGTCAATAAAAAGACTGCACTTTGTCACAGACTAGAAGAATAAACGCTACACTGAAAAGATATAGAAGAAACAACCATACAATGCAAACCCAGAACACCCACCAAAAGCCTCTGTAATGAAAATCCAGCAAATGTTCAGTAAGAAAAAGAAAAAAGATTAACAAGGTACGAGACTGCCGTAGTATGAACATAACATGCTCACATGTAACTTGCTTTCGGAAGGCTCAACTGAAATAACACTCCGACAAAGTAAGTACCATGAAAATGTGACTGCCTGCTTCAACAAGGCAAACAGAAAACTATAAATACCAGCGTCAGTAGTGTAACAATTAGGCACGTTGTATCCCTCTCAACTCGGGTTGGCCTTGACAGGCAGCGTCAAAGCAGCCCGTCTCTTAAATGATCTAAATTGTGTTGATGGGGACTCAACCCTGAGCCCCGACCTCTTGAGGCTACCATGCCCCTCTGCCTGAGCGATATATTACTAACATTCATAATATCGTCAGAATCACATTCCATATAATAATAATAGATAGCATTTGTATAGCTCAAATCCCTGCTCAACAGCAACCTCTATGCGCTTTACAATCTATACTAATACCCCAGCAGACCTGAGAGCATTCTGAAACAACCTCAACTTCCTGGGAAGCATACAGTGCAAGCAGCCATTTATAGGCGCTGAAACACTAACATACTGACAAGATCTTTCGCTGTCTATGGCCTGGTACCTATTTCCACCTGGGTGAAGTGAGGAAAATTCGTGTCAATAGCCTCCATTCCCAAGGACACAACGTCGGACCCACGGCTTGAACCACCGACCCCGCAACCTCACAATTACGAGTCCAGTAGCCTAACCACTAGGCCACCGACGCCACAACATATCCCACTCAGGGTAGTCCTTGTCACTACCAGCATCTAATTCAGAAAGATCTTTTAAAAAATCAATAACGTCTTGTGTTGTAAACACTGTTTTCCATACGCGTTTTGTCTCAGGCGGACCGTGTTGGGGATGGGGTCTCGTTCATCAACTGGTGGCTAGTCATACAGTACAGGCAGTTTTACATGCCACCGTTGTCCTGGTGGCAAGGGCTCAAAGGGTTCAATGATTTAAATAGTGTTGATGGGGATCTCAGTGTTCTAGGGTCTGCTGAGGACTTAGGGATATACATTATAAAGCGTACTAAGCTTGTTGTTGAGCGGGGATAAGCGCTTAAACAAATGCTGTTCATTATTTATCATAATGATTTATTACCTTTGGTGAGGATTTCCCCAAAATCCGCTTGCCCTTTTCCTCTGGGCTTTGACCCAATTCCGGTGAACTTTTCTGCTTAGCAAGTCTGAGCCTCGTCAGCCAATCATCTCTCCGAGGGGTGAGAGACGAGGAAGACCTGCGGGGAGTGGTGGGGTTTCGACCCGCCAGCTCATCCATCACCAGATTGGGCAGGTTGTGCGTCGGAGAGTCGGATTCCACAAAATCTTCACAAGACAGTCTTGATGGAGTTGTGACCACAGGAACCTCGGGGGCGTGTCCCCCTGACACACTCTGACTCGTCACGGATTTGTCACTCGAATCACAGGTAAGTTTCTCCCCTTTAACAATTTCACCGGTGTGAGATTCTGAAGACGGTTTATCATCGTCAAACAGAGAGCCTCTAACACAAGAAGGGTGCACAGCCTTATTCTGTCCATTGGATTCAAGTCTTGTCAAACAGGGTCGCTTTGGAGAGCTTATTTCATTGGAGAATTTGGGAATCTTCTTGGGCGAAAGAGAAGGAATATTTTCAGAAATCATCCCTTCTCCTCGCCAACGTTTTGATGGAGGAGACTTAGCAGGAGACTTGGTTGGTGATTTGAGAATTTGTATTTTCAGAGGTGGTAGCATGGAGGGAGTCGATGGTGGCGACTTGGAACTTGAATCATTTTCTGAAACAACAGAAAGCCGTTTTGATCCATCACCTGCCAGTAATCCGCTGGGATCTGACACACAAGAAGCATCTGGTTCAAGCTTGGTCCGTTTCACCGGAGTCACGGGGCCGTCAAAAACCAAAGAACTCGATGACCCTGAACACCTCTCAGGCTCTTCACCCTTCAGAGAACGTTTTTCTCCTCCACCGCTTGATGATGTGTCATTATTGCTATTTTGTGAAGCTGATGACTCCAGTTTCTGAACTTTACAAGGTGAAGCACCGTCAGTAGAACTTGACGCAGCGCTCAGAGATTTTCTCTTCAACCAGCCCAGGAGTGACGGTGACTTGACCAGCTTGGGAGAACTGAGGTTGTTTTGAGGTTTAATTTTCTCTGAAACTGACAGGTCCTGGGAGGTGGCGGGCACAGGAGGTAGGTCAGCCGATGTAGATGTTCCTGGTGAATAAAATTGCATACAGACATATGAGACACCACACAAACCAAATTCTTTAAGTTTTTGTAAGAGTTTTACAGCACTTGCAACACAACAAGGTCATATAAGTGACAAAGATTAAAGGTGTTACAAGAGGATAACAAACACAAAAAAGAAGCAAACCACATAAGAGCACTCACCAACCACCCACTCAAATTCTTTATCACTTTCTAGACTGACAAAAGCAACATTCATTAAGACGTAAAATGTTCAAGAAATATGTGAGGCAGCGTGGAGGAATCAGGCTCTCGTCAATTTTTGGATATGTAGAGTTATTGGTATCATCTTAAAGCTTGTTCACTTGTCTTTATTTGGATGAAAAAAGTATCCATTTATCTTGAATACAAGTCGAGATATTAACGAAAGAAGGAGGTGGGGGTCACCTGTTTTCAGAGGTAAAATTAGTGAGAAAATGGCCGCCAAAGTTTAGTTATTTCCTTAGCTTAAGAGTCTGTGGTAACTGAAAATTTACATTTTCTGTGTTTTTAATCAACGTTTTTCAGAAAAGTCCACACAGAAATGAGTTCTTTAATGGGCATGAAAGGTGTTGAGCCAAAAAAACAAAAATTTAATCAATATTTACAAACCTGGGGAAAAATGCAAGTTTCTTCATTTTGCTTATTTTGACGAGAGCCTGATTCCACCACGCTGCCTCACATATAATTTGTGGTTGCCCCAGATCTACTGATGACAACCCCGCAGAGGCAGAACTCTGCCCCTTTGAGGGCTCACGACAGGAGCATTCAGTAAAATAGAATCTACTTAAGAGCCAATTCCGATCTATGATTTGCAATGGTAAAGGACCTATTGATTACAAAAACATCTGCTGTAAAGTAAGTGTACGGGTTTAATGCCTCCATCAACACTATTAGGTTATTTAAAAGGCGGGACCTCCAAATTTTAACGTCCGTTTTGCAGTCTGGGATTCAAACGCGGGCCATCCGCTCCACAGTCCTGCACGATACCAACTGGGCTAATGGAGCATCCACAACCGCTGTCATTTTGATTTGATAACAGATAATTATTCCCAATTGTGTGTCCAACGTTTGATTCAGTAAGTCCAAGGCTTCAGTCCCCAAGGCAATTTAGATAGATACTCCTTCAGGGACATCCATTCTTCCTTCCTGTGCCAGTCTACACTACAATGCCATGTTCGAGACAAACATCAGTTTTATAATAAATTTTGTAATGGTAGGGACTCTGACGGCATACTTAAATGTATTCCATCATCAGTCTACTCCCCTCCTATTTCTAGTTTTATGTTTTGTATGTTTTCTCAGACGAAAAGTTATCTGATCAGTTCTTTATGCGCCTCAAGTTCTCATCTTAAAAACAGTAAGAAAATATAGTTAAGCCTGCTTTAACAATCACCTATACAAACAATGCTTCCCGCTCTCCCTTTGCTTTAAAAAAAATATTATTAAGGAATATTATAATTATACTGTCCAAGACATCCAACTGTCAAAGACAACCACTTTTCTCAGCAACAATGGATGGCTGTTTCAGACAACTTCAACTGCATGTTTTAATCAATAAAAGCTCCCCACCCCCTCCCCCTTCAGGAGAAGAAAGGGAGAGGGTTTTGGGAAGGAAGAAATGACGGCTAACAAAAAAGATACTGAAGAAAGAAAGGGAGAACAAAGAGAATTTTTTTTAAAAAGAAGTGCAAAGAGAAACAACATAACGTATACAAGGCTAATTAGCAGCTATATAAAAAAGACAAGAGTGTGTACCTCTTTCCTTGGAAAACCTGCGTGCTCGCCCCACCCATGGTGGCAAACGCTCTTTGTCCAGTTCTCGGCAGAACACGCGCCAGAACTTTGTTTTAGCATCGTCAGACAGAGTAACCAGCTGGAAATGCAGATAGCATCACAGTAACCAAACACCTGACAAATGCTAAAGGGGGTGTAGAACATTTTTTGTTGTTGTAAACTGTAACAACCCCCCCCCCCCAAAAAAAAAAAACCCAACAAAATTTAGAGAAAGAAAAGCAAATCAACATTGCAAGGTTTTTGAGTTTCACTTAGAGTTCTATGGTACTTGCAGCATAAATATGTCATATAAGTACTGAAGATTAGAGGTGTTACTAGAGAGCAACATACAAAGAAAAGAAGGAGGAAAGATAAGGGTGATAGTTAATAGAAAAAAGGGGCAAACAATACCAGAGCACCTGCTGACCACCCACAAGCTACAAAAGAAAGAAAGGCAACTGAAAGGCAACTCAATGTTGCAAGGTCAAATTTGTCCACGCAGCAAACAGATTAAGGGAGACACAGACAGTAAAGTCACTAAAATTACAACTCAACAGGAACAATAAAACCCACAATGTCACACGTTGCTTTGTGAACACTGGAGCGATGAAAGGAACAACTTGAACAGCTGCTCCGTTGTAAGTTGTAATATGCAAGTAGAAGAAGTCACACGCAATTGTAGGATGAGGTATAGAAAAAGTTGCAACACATTGAAATCTAAGAGACTGTCTTAGCATAATATTGTCATTTATCAAAATACAGTTGAACCTGTTCTAAGGACCACCTGCCCTGTCCAAGACAATCACCTGTATAACCCCCCCCCCCCCCCGCCTTTTTTTCTTTATTATAATGACATTGTCCTTGAAGACCACTTTTCTTTTCAGCAATGGGTTGTCTTCTTGGACAGGTTCAACTGTAAAGTCTGTAAGAAAACAATGAAGGAAAAAAAAGTATTTACCTTCGTGACGTCGTTGGGGCACCATGCAACACTGGTAACTTCGGCTGTGTGACCTTTGAGGACGATCGGAGATGCCTTCGGTTTATTCACCTTTCATTTAGAAAAAGAGAGCGTAAAGAAAGATAGGTATTATAGATTTAATAAACACACCTTACATTTTATCGTCACTGTGCTAGCAAAATGGCACATTTCATTTAGCTACTTTTGAGATAAATGAAAAAAACTGTTTACCTACACTATTTATCATCTAATAACGGTAAGACTTCCCATGCATGTTTCTTTTGTGACTGCCAGCACATTTTTGTTTTGATTTTTTACCAAAATATAGATATAGTAACCACCACACAAAATAAAAGGCTAGTTGCATTTTGGCACAACCCTGAGTAATGCCATTTTGCTTGCACAGTGACGATATGTAAGTATCTTTACCCATTTACCATTCCTGGCAACAACAAGAACTTTAGTTTTAATAAGAGTTTTACGGCACTTGCAACACAATAAGATCATAAAAATGCCAAAGATTAAAGGTGTTACTAGAGAGTAACATACAAAGAAAAGAAGGAGCAGAGATAAGAACGATAAATGTTTGACAGGAAAGAAGGAGCACATCACACCAGAGCACCCTACCAACCACCCACAATTAGGTAATTATCTTAATGTTACATAACTGCCACACTTATGTAGAGCTGTAAACACAAAACAAAAACAAGAATGCAAAACTTCCATCTCCGTTAATCGGTTAATGAGTACGACAGGCATATTGGAAAAAAACCAAGTACCTGCCAGATGTAAGCCATGTCATCGCTAGAGCCACTCAGGAGATACTCGTTGTCTGGGCTGAGAGCTGACTTGACGTAGAAAGTGCTGTTTTTGTGTCCACTCCAGCATTGCACTGAGGAAATAATCAAAAGCATTAATGCAGCTCAAGATTGAATATTTCAAAACTATAAAGAAAAAAGAACTGTCTTTCACAAGAAAATGTCCATCAGAAAAAAAGATAAAAATTTTTAATTAAAGATTTTCTGTCACTCCTTTACATTACCATCTTATGAATAATAAAGAGCAATCATAGTTAGCGTAACTCTGCTTAATCTAGTAAAAAATTCTCCCAAAAAAATATTTTAATAAACCCCACAAGCATTCCTAGGCTTAATGGGTTATCTTGTCTTACCTCAGGCATATAAAGAATTACAAGAGCATTTATCATGAGACATTGATAGCAAAGTCTCAAACTAAGCTACTCCAGGCTAGCCTAAGGGTAGAGTCGAAATAATCCAAGACAGTCACCCACTGCCATTATAACATTTTTTAAAACGGAATATAAGAGGATGGGAAGAGGTAATTTGTTATAGTGATTGTCTTGGACAGGAGACCATTAGAGCATGTTTGACTGAATTTATTCCAGATAAATTCCCTTTCCCTAGGTGTAAATGCACTAATATGAAAAATTCTAAATGGGCAAGCCTGAGCCTTCATGTGTAAAAGTCTTTTGAACGACAGAAATGTTTCCGTAAGCTGCACATAGATCTCTCAGAAAAAAAATCATATATATGACAACATTACAAATCATGAAGAAAAATGTTTACTTCATGTATCTTACCAGGTTTATCACTGTAATTGTGAATGTTGTATTCGTAAATCTTGTCGTCTGTACAACTTGCAAACAATCGTAGCCCATACATATCCTTCACCAAGCTAGAGTATCCTGAAAGAAAGAAAGAGAGTGCAACTTTTAGTAGACTGGTGTCTACGGTTTAACAGTTAGGCACTTTGCTGGTGCACACAGAAGACCCAAGTTTGATTTTCTTATGGGGAGAATCTTTAATGAGCATCTCAGTCTTTCTGCTGGCATGTTTTATCTCTCTCAGCCCAGGTTGGCCCTGCTGGCAGGATCAAAGCCTGCCTCCTAAATGATTTATGTCCATGGGGGTGTAATAACACCTACATTAAGAAACAAATCATTGTGAGACCTCAGCCCTAATGCAGTAATACCTTCATTGGGAAGAGATTTCTTCAATAGGACCACAGACATCTTTTCAAACAAAATGTTCTTTAAGCCACAGTAAAACTCATCAAAACTTACCGCGTTTCCTTGTGTTGGAGCCTGGGTAGTGAAACACATGCACTGGGGTGGCCCCTGTTCCTGCTCGATAAGTCTTGCGAATATCCCAAACCTTGAGACAACTGTAGAACAATTCCATCCCATACGTATTAGAGAAGAAACATTTCACAAATTCCCAAGTAACAGGGATCTATCATTCTCATCTCTCCTCTTTTTCTTTGCATGTTATGATCTAAAAAACACCTCTAATCTTCTGCATTTTTATGACCTAATTGTGTTGCAAATGCTGTAAAACTTTAACTAAAACTAAGCAAACATTTACATGGTGAGAATCAAAGTCAAGGTGGAGAGTGCATTTGGTATAAGAGATGTACACCAAAGTGTTAGAAGAGGGGATTTCAACAAAATTTACTGGAGGGAAGAAAAAAACCCCAAACCTTTCCTTTGAGAACTAAGCGATACACAGACAAAGATATAGATGACTTCAAATTCTTCTACTCAGATGACAAATGCAGTGTACAGGAGATGGTCTAAAAATTAAAAAACATTCAATAGACCTGCATGTGAGCCTCAACCAGATTGTCTGAAAATTTTGCGCAACCCCCCCCCCCCCCCCAAAGCCTTTGTGGGTGTCATAAGGAAGGACATCCGAGTAACGAGCGACCACCCCAACAAACACTAAAGAAGAGACCTAACCCTAACCCTACCCCCAAAAGAACCTGCAACGGGCCTCATGTAAAAAGGCCAAAACAAGTCCTAAATGGAAAAAAATAAATTTTTAATCAGAAAACCACACTCCAAAACAAACAAGGAGCATATAGATATCAAGATCTATATGGCTTACATCTACATTGCTATAGACTATACGGTTTGATACAATAACTCAGCTGAGTCTAGATTCTAGATCTAGATCTAAATAAATAAATAATTCACGCACCTGATGAAATGCTTATTTTTACCAATATTAATATTACAGCACAACCTATGATAGGGTTTGACACAATAGAATTGGAATATGAATCCTCCATTGAGGTCTATAATGATCTATATAAATCTAGATCTAGGCTAGATCTAGATTCTATTAGAACAAGTGAGTCGGACTTGAATGAATCCACACGATCTGAACAATTGAATTAGTCAACAAACAAAATTTAAAATGACCGCTCGAGCATGAAACTGAAAGTAGATAATTTAAGTTGTCGTCCTTTTTCGTATTCGCATTTCTACTTAGGTTCCGACAATTATGTCGGAAACGCCGACGTCGGCAGTCGGCGGTGCGCGCATCGGCGGTCGGCATGAAAACGCAGACGGGAGAAAAAGGGGTCGCTGGCAGTCGGCCAAGCCTCGCACTACGCGCATTGACTGATACAGACGGGCCTAGCGATAGCATCGGCCGGTTCGCGGGTCGGGTCGCAATTGTCGGATTTCAGACGATTGTCGGCAAACATGCAGGTCTAATTCAATAAATAGCTTGAGTCCCTTCTGATATCAGCTGACATATTACTCATTAAAAAAAACTTTTGAAATGATTATACCAAAAACTGAAAGCGCAGAATATTCAAATATTTATACTGATCAGGAGTATGCCAGTGGATGTTTTTTTTAAAGCAACAGAGCTTAGAAATTATTCCCGCAAACAGAACAGTCCACAACTGTTCAAAGAATTAAAGATTTTGAAAATGGTGAAATGGTATAGGTTTAACGCCCCTATCAACACTATTAGGTTATTTAAGGGGCGGGACCTCCAAGTTTAACGTCTCTGATAGGACCGAGCCAAGTGGGAAGTTCGTGTAAAGTGCTTTTCCCAAGGACACAACGTCGGACTGAGCTGAGGCTCGAACCCCCGAACTCGCAATCTCATGATTACGATTAACCACTAGGCTACCGATGCCACCTAAAGATTTTGAACGATTTCTGGGAATTGTTGGATTGTGCTAGTAAAGTGCTGATAAAATGTTTCGACGGTAAGATATAGTCACACAAGACAAGAATCAATTCCAATTGGGGTTTGTTTGTTTGTTTTAGTAGAGGTTTTACGGCGCTCGCAACTGCATAAGGTCATAAGAGCACCAGAAGAATAGAGGTGTTACAAGAGAGTAACAAACCGGCGGGTGTACCACCCACTGTAATTCCTAAAATTCTTTTAAAGTGGCAACCCTCAACTATTATTTGTTTAAATATAATATGTACATATGTTTTAAACTAGTACAATCATCAAAATGCCAGCGTGGAGAAGGGGACCAAACTGGAACAAATCCTTCAGCACTGTAAGACACAGAGGGCTTTGAGACAGGAAACGTGGCCAACCCCACTGACACTACAAGAGAAAATATACAAGCCAACAGAGGAACTGAGCAGGACCGCCTAATATATGACAGATACCACACTTCAAGTGTGATGCGATCGAGAAGAAGTTAGAATTGTTTAAAATCTTGAACGTTCAGACTCACCCGTCCACAGCTCCTGCAGAGATGAGGTAGTTCTCGTTCTGGAACAAGACACACGTCACGCTTTGTTGCGCATTCTGGAATAAATGGAATCTGTCAGTTGCAACCTTATAACTAGACTGAGGAATGTAAATTTTCCTCAGTAAGTCCAACACACTTTTTAAAAATATGTTACACATTTCAATTGTGAGAGATTTATAAGGTTAACTTTTTTCTTGCTTTATCCTTTTCAAAACTTCCAATTCTTTAGAAATCAATAAATACAGGAAGGAATTTGTAGCTAGAGAGAAGAGTAAAATTCTATTTTTCAGTGGGAACAAAACATCTTACTTCTAATCATTAACCATTTTGCAAGTCATCTTTCAATCACATTGTAACTGAATTTAAGTGAAAATTAATGATTTGTGAAAGAAATTTGAGTAAAAGCTGACACTACTGAATGCACTACTTTTCCTCCTAAAGCACGGATGAAAACCGAACAAAAGGAGATATCCACAAAACTTACCCCAACCACAGTAACTGGAGACTGCTTCCGGCTCCTTACTGATGAGGTTGCTCGCAACAATCTATGTGCATGAGAGATAGTATTTACTGGAGGAACAACACCATCTGTAGAAAAAAAAAAAAAAGTGCCACATAATAATGAGATGAGCATGCACTTGTATAAGTACAAAATCTGAACACCTGTACAAAGCCTTCCTCCTCATTCACGTGTGAATTCAGAAAATTGAAGGACCAGTTATTAGTCAAACTAATTCTTTGACATACTTTCTTGAAGCTTTGATATAAGTCTATCGGGTAAAGTTTAAGTTTACTTCTAGCTTGACATGAAAAAAGCTGGCAACATCAACAGAGAGAAGTAGTGGGATATAAGAGAGAGAGAGAGAGAGAGAGAGAGTAGTGGGATATAAGAAGGAGAGAGAGAGAGAGAGAGAGAGAGAGAGAGAGGGAGGGAGAGAGGGAGAGAGGGAAGGAGAACAATACAGATATCACAGAGGGTAACACTTTCTAAGCTCCACAATAGCAGACAATAAGTTCACGCGAAAAGCAAAATAGGAACGGAAAAGATAAAGAATAAAAGAAGGACCAGTCAGTGATGCCCTTCAAATGCTTACGATTAAATACCAATCACTTGCGTTCACACACCTTAAAGAACACCCCAAAATTACCAAAATCATTTTGTGTCTATGCAGTGAGGGACTTCATCGGGATTACGACACTGACTTTGGGCAAATCAAAAACTAAACGTGCATTAAAACAGATGAGTTAAGCATTAACCCTAATAATTGACTAAAATAAATAACAAAAAACAAACCTTTATGGTAAATCCGTTTGTCCCATGTCATAATATGGCCATCTCGAGAGCCAGAACAGAAAACAGCTGTAAATGAAGACAGAAAACAAATTTCGTTTTACAAATTGAATAATTAGTTGAGGAGAAAAGTGGATACCTTAGACAGGTGGATGTACTGTACAGTGCCAAAATTCAGAGGAGGGTGGTAGTGGTCATTATTTGTACAGGTTATTGTCTTGGACAGGTACCGTCAGAGTCAGAGCAGATTCAACTGTATTTACATCAGGCTAAGTTTTATTGGTATTATGAAGAAATTGCTATTTGTAAAACTTTCCACCTATGGAATGTCTGATGAAAATCTTCATGCATCAATCAGCAATCTGTTTCAATGCTTCAGGCCTTTCCACCTTTCACAGCACCAAGGCCACTACTGATTGTGCAAAAGTTTAGTTACAAGCTTTATATTCTAATCACATAATCACAACAGCAACCCCCCCCCCCCCCCCCCCCCCCAACTGTTAGTAAAACAAAGTTTGAAGTAACAAAGTAACAATCACATCCACAATCTTCTTAAAACAAAACAAAACAGAAAAAGCTAGAAAAATAACGAGTGCTAACCATCATCGCCAACCCTGCAGGAGATTGACTTGATGCTGCTGGCGTGTCCTCGAAACGTCTCCAACTTCTGACCAGTGGGCACATCATGCAGGACAATCGTCTGGTCACCCGAACCAGAGAGAATTCTGTCTTCCCCCTGAAGCCATTCGAGGTCAAACACGGCATTGGTGTGAATCTGCCAGGCTGTAAGAAAAACAGGATACTCCTTTCAGGGCACAATAAACTTAAATTTAACATTTGTTCCATAATGACATTAAGAGAGAAAAACACAGCATGGTACAAAGTGAGAAGAGTGAAAATGTATGGAGAACGCAATAAAAAAGATGCTAAAAAGATGCACGGAATTTATAAGTGGGATGATATGGCTCTGCAAGAACGTTTAAGTCTCAGACTTTTCACAATCTGACACCTTCAAAGATCAAGAAACTGCCATTATGTTCAGACTTTCCATAACAATAAAAATAATACTTACTTTTTATAATAGCATGTCTTGCAGTCTTATGTGTGTTGTACAAAATCAAATAACCATCCTCATCGACAACACTCAGAATATGCTGATGCTGTGGCACTGGGAAAAAGAAAAAAATCAATCAAATTTGTTTCAATCATATGGGAATCAATCATACGGGAATGAGTGTTATAAAATTTTAACATTTCTTAATTGTATATGGTATTTGAAAGACATGAGGATTTTAGAGGGTGAGTTTTTTTTATTGATACCATTTGACTGAATCCAGATGTTATCTCATGTTTCCTTTTAAATCATTGTATTTATTCTATGGATAACTTTCAACTTGTAATTTCCAATCCTATGGTTAAATTAAGTCAAAGATCTTCAATTTTAAAGATATTTTACAAGGTGACGCCCTTTCAGGTCTTATAAAACAGCTGCTGAAAATCTAAATTTAAAAACTTTTTAGTAGTTTGGTCATGTTTACTAAATGAAGAACGAAAGAAAATACATATATTTATCCAGATCTTAAATTCAAAAGTACACAGAAATATGCCCATGACCACTTAAAGTTCACTTTGAACACACTGGGAGCAGCACCATTAACCCTATCTATACGCCCTGAGGTCATTTTGCACCCCCGGGGTTGTATTCTTCACATTTTAGAAAACTTCTTGTAAGAAGATGTCTTTGAAACTTCCAGTATTTCTCAAAAAATCATTTTGACAGACTGCTATGCAAAGCATACCGATCGGATTAAGGAGTAAATTTCCTCTTTTGAAAATGGAGGCACAGAGTTTCCTCACGTCATATGGGTACGATAGTAAAACATGATGTACGGATAGGGTTAAATAAAGTTGACATCTTTTTCAGAGCTTAAAAACACAAATTGTAGTGTATTCATATCATCACTTTTCAGCTCCCTTTTCATTTCTTTTTACTTCAGTATACTTCGATCTCATCATCATTCGCATAAATCAGGGATCATAGAGAAGGTTTTCGCCAACTCTTGAACTTTGGCAGTCGATCTGATAGACTTTCGTAAATATTGTGCACCCCCCTCCACACCAGTTTAAAAGATGCAAAATAAACCAAAATATAGAAACATTTCACTAACAACTTTCCTCTTGTGCTTGATTGACTTTGTCCTCGTATGCGGGATGCCTTAGGGCTGATCTCAGGCTACTCAAGACCTACTGCAGTCCGACTTAAGACAGGTGCGGTTAAGACCGCGGAGCAGATTTTGGGAAGCTCTCGCAACCTCGGAAAATCGCGGATCCACAGAAAACTGTAATCCTTGATAAATGCAAGCCTTATATCATATGGTATCCCCCTTCCTCCCCCCCACTCTTCAACTATCTGAAGTATTGTGAATAACAGCAGTCTAAAACAATTTTTATGAAACACTTTGCACTTACTTTTTGCAAAAGCACATGCCAAAGGGGGCACTGACATCTGTAGATGTAGAAACAAAAAGAAATGTTCAGAAACACTTTAAAAAGTACCTGAGCAGTGGCTAATGACATGTCTAGAATACACAATTTAAAAAAAACAAAACATTTTAAAACAAAATAATTAAAGGAACAACACTAATCGCATGATCAAATAAAAACTCAAACGATTTAAGCTACAATATGTTATGCACTTGATTATGCATTTATTTTCACAGATTTCTGGTTGTAAATTACAGTAAAGGGTTGGCTTCTGTTATCATCTCTCAAATGATGCCGGAGAAAACAGACAACATCGCTATTGCCCCTGAGCCAGTGTCTTACCTTCCCTTTGCATAAAAACATCTAACGAAAGAAAGTTAACGTTCATGGTTTCATCAGCATATAAGTACACAGGAAGCATACAACAAGTAGAATGATAACATCAAGTTCAAGTTGAAAGTCAACAAATATAGATTCCACTCACCGAGGAGAGGTGTTTAAGGTATAAGAATAGTTTTGCCTTGGTGTGTTCCAGCCCAGCTTCTCAAACTCCTTGACCGTTCTCCACAGATTTTATTTTTATTGGGTCTCCCTCTTTTTTATTTGCCGCCTGAAGCCTCTACAAAGTCCAGCCCATTACCAAGTCTTCAATCTTGAGGACAGAATTATAATTATGACAATAAACATCACAGGTTTTTTTTTAGTTTCTCATTCTATCACCACAATTACTTTTAGATTAAAATCCTGTGGAAAACAAAACTGTATCCTATAAGGTCTATGATTTTCATCAAGTATTATAAAGTACAAGACTCACCCCATCATCGTCGACTGTGGAATATTCATCCGAGCTATAATTCTTGAATTTTGTGAGTAAAAAGGATAGATCTGACGGAGGCAGCATTCGTCCAACTGAAAATTGATTTTAAAAAACAAAACAAAGCAGTTATAGGTCATTCTAAATCAAGACCAACATCTTTGTCACATGTCGAGACTTAAATCTATAATAGTACATTCTAAAAGCTGTTTCCAGCTCAAGACAAGGCAAGTCCAATGCAGCACAGTGAAAACCAAACATAACATAAAGCTATCACTGTAATCCACAAATAACCTGTTTGAAAAGGAAAGCCATTCCAAAAAAAAAAATGTTTTTAATTATTAAAAAACAGAAAGGATAAAAACACAATTATTTTTATATTCAAGCCTCACACAAGTATAATTCTATAACAGAGGCCAACAAGTATACTTAAAGGTCACTGAAGTCATTGGTTTGCAGACACTCGAGATCAACACTGTGGTCCACACCATGATGAGCCAAACGGTCAAGTGTCGGGAGAAAGCTTCCTTTCAAAGATATTCTCATACATACACATTGATGTTTGATTGGCAGTCAATCTTTTGGGAGAGAGACGTGGTTGAATGCTTTTGATCTCTTCCCTGAAAGAATTTCTGTGGGTGGAGACGCCCTGTCCAGAAGACTAGATGTTTTTCAAAATTTGCTACACGAGTGACTAAACAGATCAAATGCCGAACTAAATTTAAAAGTAGAGGGAGAAACCATCTTGGAGATCATAAAGGACTCCTATTCTACAGGATGAGAAAAGAAAATTCCTTTTTTAAAATCAAAATGCAAACTCATACTAGTAGAGTTGGTAAATAGCATTACACAGAGAAGGGGGATGCAACGAAGATCAAGGATTGAGAGTTTAGTTTCTTTCTCTGTGCATGCTCATAGCAAACACAGTGAACAGATTTTCAGGTCTCAATTTTTTTTAAAGTAAAGAAATATTTAAAGCATGTACAAAGCGAATTCTGAATATGACGAAAAGATTTCCACATTCCATTGATTTCGCAATGAGCATGCTAGACTGTAGTCTTATTGGTACAAGGAAAGTACCCCCCCCCAAATGTATTGTAAACATCTCAGCTAGAGTATCTACTACCTACTTGAGGTGTAGATGTGATATTTTTCCTGCAACTTTTCAAGAGGCAAAATTAAACCTCACGGACCTGGCTGGTCAAAAAGGTCCTGGAACGACATAACATGTATATATATATATCTATCCACAGACGCCACACACTTTGCACCTCCCCACGACATCCTAAGGATACCAGATGTAACCATGCAGAAGAAGGAAAAAGTTAAAAGTTAAAAGTAAAAACCTCATACTTAAACAGCATTTTGACCTCACAAATGCCTCATCTAGTGAAGGCTATTATTATGAGTGTACCTAGTCAGGTGTAACTCAGATTATTTTTGTGTCATTAGGCTAGTTGTGTAAGTATTATAATCACATATAGTATAATTATCATATTGAATTGAGTGTTCAGGCCCAGTTGGGTAGCCAGTAGTGAAGTGTGGTGTAAATCTACTGTGTCTGGGGGTGTCTATCATATTGCCTGCGAACACAACATATCCCACCGAATTCCTACCTAAATAGGAGGATCTGTAAGGACACCCCACCTGGACTGCCCTTTGTGTGACTGCCAGGATAATATGAAGACACCTTTATTCTGGGGGGAGAATAACCCAAGTCTCGCTATTATAATTATCACCACCCCCCTCCTGGAGAGAATAGCTCCCACCCTGGTGTGGGCATGAAGCGAGGACTCCCCCCCTGATCTCTCGAAGGTCGATAAAATCACCTAGGCCCTTGGTGGCTTACCGCATGTGGTTGGGAACTAATAATAATAATAATGTAAAAACATTTTTCGCCTCTCCAGTAAAAAAAAAAGCCTAACTATCGACGCTACTGGGCAGGATGTTGGACCGGCCACACCATTCGTTGTTTACACACTTTACGATGGCAGGCCTCTCACTCTCTGTCTGCCTGCACACAATAATGCTCCTGCGCGACGGTAGAAGGGTTGTAATCATTCAGACCAAATGGGCGAGGGCGTTAAATCGTGTTAACTAGTTTAATAATTAAACAATCCCAGCTCTTTTCTTCAATTTTCTTTTCTTCTTTCCCTTTCTTCTTACATTTGGAGTTAGGAGCCAAAAAAGAGCCAGAGAGCCAAATGAAATATTCTCCGGGCCAGACGTGATCCAAAAGAGCCAAATTTCTGGGATTTGGCTCCAAACTGACAACTCTGACTGTGACTATTCGGACACGAACAGAGACGAGGATGATGCTGTGGAGATTCAGCCATGGGTCAAGCCGGCTAACATCAGCCCTGATCCCTCTAGGGTAATTTCCGGTAAAATGAGGGGCTGAGAATAGCGAGACATGGGTTATTCTCACCCGGGGTGAGAATAACCACTTCCTAAATATGATACAGTATCGCACCATCTCTTTACCTTATTTTGCACTTAGCGACCTGCTTAGCACCTAGAAATCTAGATATAATCAAGATCTAGATCTATTCTAGATCTACCTCTGCCTCTCCAGATATCAGAAATACTTTAGTCTTTAGACTATAAAGTAAAGCGACAAAACACAGCTGATAAATTCAGTCCCATTCGACAGACCAAAGGGCTAGAACCCAGATGGCCTCTGGATCAGATATAGATCTAGATTCTAGATTCTAGATCTAGAGATCTAGATCTAGAGATCTAGATCTGGAAGGACTTCCGTAACGAGCGACCACCCCATCAAACACAATATAAAGAAGAGGCCTAAACCTAAACCTACCCCAAGCCCTCAATTCTGCTCTGTCTCATAGTGGTCGCTCGTTACGGAAGTCCTCCCCTAGATCTAGACTTTGATCTAGATTCTAGATCTCCTTGGCCCTAAAATAGGCTAAAAGCGAAGTAGCCAGGAGTAAGTGTGCCTTCTATCATAATCATGGCAAAGTCAAGGCTCACGAAAAAGCAGATTAAACACAAGCATGCAAAATAATTCTTACCGCTCGGACAGTCTCTTCGAAAGTGATTACTGCTAAGATTTCGGTTTCGGCTCGGATGCATTCTCTGCTGGCTTGCTGATGAGACAGAGACCCTCCTGCTGGTTGATTTTCAGTCCGCCTTTCGTGTTCGACGTCAATAAACTCTTAGCCTCTTTTATCTGCACACAGTCTTTGGAAGATTTATTAAAAATTACTCTTGCTCCTTCATGGAATGTGCAAGCCTCAGCGACAGTGCTCTGAAAAAATGACAGAAGGAAAGAGTAAAGAATACGCAAAATATTGTTCACCGGTTTCTACAAAGTGACAACTCCATTTCATTCATACAGCGACGCAAACACTTACAGTCTCTGTCTCCCGCGATCAAAGCAAAGACCGACCGGCACGATCTTCACACACGAGACTCGACAGTAGCTTAGCCCCCTCGATACCCTAAGTTTGAAGTTCACGAAGGCTTCTCTCTTTCGCCGTTCTGTATGATATCATTCCTTATTTGCATTATCTATTAGTGAGGTTGTAACATGGGGTCCATTTTTCCACTGGGTAAGAATCCAATAACTAACCTGAAAGAATCACCGGTACTTAAAAGAAATCTGAACTTATCGAATATCGAATTTAATATTGGAACAATCAAAAAAGAAAACAGTACTCGATTAGTATTTACGCGCCAAGTGGAAAAATACTTTCGTGTTTTTTTAATGTATGTTAATTATGATATGGTCTTCTCATCATCATCATCCAGTGCCAGATCTGTGACAGACATCGGCGACCATGATTCTCCATTCATTCCTTTGCTCAGACGCACTAAAAAAAAGTTAGAATTTACGTTTCCCTGTTACCCATTTGTTTAGGTTCGGTTTCCTAAGTACAGTCGAACCTGTGTAAGACGGCCACCCATTGTCAAGGAGAAAAATGGCCGTATAAGACAGGTGGCCGTCTTAGGCAGGACTGATCAAAATGAAGAAAACAAACCATTCTTTTCTGAGGTCCCACCCGAAGGTAGCCGCATTGTTGTTGTTTTTGTTATGTTGTTGTTATGTTGTTGTTGTTGTTTTCGCTGGGTTTTTTTCTTCTCTTTTTTTCTTTTGTTGCTGCTTTTGTACAAGGGTGACAATAAAAAGAAATGTGTGAGACAAGGAGGACCGGGTGCTATGGTAAAACAAACACACGTATCGCTACCATTCGGAGAACAAGCGACGCTTCTGTCACAAGTTCAGGTTGACGTCCATTGTTACTTTGTTACAGACTGGGTAAACAGTGACCACTCATCTCACTTACGATTAATGTGTGTATGAATTCTGGGCGGGGCTTATGGGTTATGAGGGATCACACGCTTACCTCACCAGCAGCTGAAAATTAATTTTGTTACCTATTGGTTAACAGTGGGAGGGGCCTATGCAACATGATCGGTTGGAGGGACTATCTAACAAAAACAACAGGTGATTAGATTATGACGGCTCGCCCACAACGCAAGAGCCCAATGCTTGATTTATGACAAAACGTAATGGAGTCACTAAGGTGGCCGTCTTAGACAGGTGTATTTGCTTTGTGTGATAGGGGTTGCGTGTTAAAATATGGTGACCGCGGCCGCGTTGGACAGGTGCCCGTTTTACACAGTTAAATTATATAGAAACAACGCAAGGGGGGGAATGGAAAGTGGCCGTTTATACAGGTGACCGTCTTATAGAGGTGGCCGTCAGGGCAGGTTCGACTGTATGTTGTTCTGGACCTATCGCTTGCCCTCAATTTTGCCAGTGAAAGTTAGATATTCAAGACCCTTATGTCTATTTATTATGGTCTTCTACAATGGTATTTTTGTGATACTTATCGTGTTTAAATTGACTTGATCAATTAATTTGAATAAATAAGCATCATATCAGTATACTAGCCCAGGTTTCTGATTTCAATGTGAGCAGTAGATCTAAATCAAGGAGGTTACACCGTCGGATTACGTCATTGTGCGGCCACGTTTTTTCGCATAATTCTGCAACATTTGCATAATTTTGGATTCCCACGTTTTTTTTCACGTTTTTTCCCTTTTTTCGCAAAACAATTACTTAAAGCCTCGCCATACGACTAAAGGGAAGTAATCAACGTAATAAGTCTCATTTAAGTGATAAGTTGGCTATTTCCCTTGTTATAAGATCTTGGTGGTTATGGGTTAGGGATTTTTATTCCAGCATGCTCAGTTTTTCAGTGCATCAAAATTTGTTCTCATGTCTGCTGTGCTGATGTTTCATATTTATGTTTGACAGGTTTCCCTGGTTTTAGTGATGTGCCAGCATCAGAGGTTCAAATTGTTTTTGGGGTTTTTTGGGTGTTTTTTAGAACATTTTTCATTCCTCTATAGATAGATCTCTAGATCTACAGCTGAAAGTTACAGAGATTATATTTTTTGGTTGTTGTTGTTTTCAGACTGATTTGTATTGTTTTCTTTCCAAATACACCACAAATTATTGATACTGTTATCTTCTGTTTTCAATTTTTCTTAATGAAAAAGTGCAAAACATGTCGCGAATCGAATGGTATTTCGGTAACTTGCATAATTTTTGCATAATTTTGCTTTTTTGGGTATAATTTGGCCATCTAAATTTGTTTAATTCTGCGGGGACAGGTTACAGCAAAAATAGTAGGCTACATAGGCCTTATGTCACAGTAAAAGCCTGGGCTAAGCTCCTTGAAATGAATAGTGAAGTCTTTGCCACATTGGCATGGGCTCGCTCATTCTTGTCCGCCGCACTGACTATGCCGTTAGCAGTTTTTGTTTGTATTGTACTGTTAATGCAGTATATTGTAATTTCAAGTATAAATTAAGGTTTAATTGTTTCTTCTTTCACCGCAAGCCACTTTTCAAAATATGTTTTTAAAATTTTCTTGGAGTTGTTACCGAACCAATGGGACAACTCAGTCACTTTGAAGCCTCCTTAAAAAAAAAATTGATTAACTTACTTACCAAGCCGCATAATCTTAGTTCATATCCTTAATCCACTCATATCAGTGTTCATGAAAGCACCATTATGTTTAATCAAAATCATAGAATTTGATTTGACGAAGATATGGTATTGATAGCAGGAAGAAAACAAAACTTTGTTTGGTCACTTTCTCAGCTATGTATGCTATGTTACCTGGCATCACCGGTTCTATGGACGCTGCCATATTGGCATAGTGTTGTTCTAGAATAGTCCTTGTTCATGTGCTAACCGGTTGGGGATTCAATCCGTTTCCATCTTATTTTGAAACACACAATCTACTGTTCAAGATGCCTCAGATAGTTGCAGCAGGAGGTAGCGGTGATTCCGCGAGTAAATCTGAGTACAAAGACAAGGATAAACCAACTCAGATCCGATACAGCAACATCACCGCCGCGAAAGGTAAACATGGGTCCAGCCATTCGATTTAGCAGGAATTTTGACATTGTCATGTCCCGTTATCACTGGAATACACAAACACTCTTATACTTTTTTGTGTCTAGAAAACTAGAGTATCTAGTTAAAGAATTCTTAGTCCCGCATAATGTAACTACTTGACTGTAGAAATGCAGATATGTGAACTCCGTCTGGATTCTAGTCTAGAGGTTAATTACAAGATGAATTGATGTAATGAATCATGTTATTGTTGCTATGGAAACGATCACTCGCTGATATCACTTCAAAGTTTTAGATCTATCAATAATCACTAGATCTACTTGTCATCCAAGTCAACTCTTTTCTTTAGTCTCTGGACACCCATTAAGCTGAGGAGATTTTCTGTTGGGATTAATTTTTTCCCTTGGTCTGGCTTGTTACTGAGACATGAGAGTGAGTCTGATGATTGATTCAGGTGAGGGGGGTGGGGCACCAGCAGCCCCCACCCACCCTATGCTCTACATTCATCTGCTAGTTCATCTCTAAATTGTAAATGAATTCCAGTCTATTGATATTTCAAAGGCTGCTGGTCAACTCGGGTCCTTCAAGCTCCAAATTGTCATAGACTCAATGGGAGGACTTCCGTAACGAGCGACCACTACTATGACGGATGAGGGAAGGACTTCCGTAACGAGCGACCACCCCATCAAACACAATAAAGAAGAGGCCTAGACCTAACCCTAACCCTACCCTTACCCCTACCCCAAGCCCTCAATTCTGCTCATAGTGGTCGCTCGTTACGGAAGTCCTCCCACTATGAGACAGAGCAGAATTGAGGGGTTGGGTTAGGGTTAGGCCCCTTCTTTATTGTGTTTAATGGGGTGGTCGCTCGTTGCGGAAGTCCTTGTGACTCAATAGCCTACTTAACTAGATCTATATCAAAGTGACTATTCGGACTCGAGTCCGAATATGAAAAAATGTTATTCGGACTCTTCTTGTCCAGCATGACATCACTTCCGACTTCCTGTGACTTGTGACTCCGGCTTCCTGTCCTGCCTCACTCGTGACTCGCCTCAGGCTGGGTAGAGACCGGTATCACTTCGGGCAAAATGGCGTTTTGTGCAGGAGCCGAGTTTTTATCTTATGATGAATTTGAGGCCGGCCTGAAAAGTTATATCGCTTCTAATAAATGTTTGCGTGTGTCGGGGTCAGATGGGCGGGCTGAACACGTGTGGCTGTGTGCGTGTCGGGGTGGGGGGCACTATCGGTCCGGGCGTTGGAACGTCGCATACGCGCCAGTCTTTTTTCCCACGGCAACTGATCTTTATTACAATAATAAGCTAGTCTTGACGTAGATCTACGTAATGAATTGTGCGCTGGTCTATGGAATCAAAAGTTGCCGTATGCTCAGCTCTACACAGTAACACAACTTTTTCTTGGTAAACAATCGAGATGACACAGGCTTGTGTATTTGAACGAATCGGTCTTTTTTTTTAAACGCAGCTCATAATATGCAGGTGCCAGGTGGTCTGCTAATCTTCAATTTTACCTTTTTCTACAACAAAGAAAGTGGGAAACGTGGGGGGGGGGGGGCGTATAAATGAGGCGGCAGGCATCGCAGAAAAGGTGTGGGGGAAACTAAAAAATGGCGGAAAATTGGAATCCCTGAATGTCAGATCTATAGAATGAAAACACTTCCTTTTTTCAGACCCGAGTCCGAATAACTTTTTTTCATATTCGGACTCGAGTCCGAATAAAGATGGCCTAACTATATATATATATTGGTATTATATAGATTTGGGTCTCTCGCACTCTCTGCCTTGGGCCTCGGGTTGGGCCAATATTTCCAAGAGAAAATCAAAATTTAAGCAGAGAATGGCCCTTTTTCGGCAGTTCCCACCCCCAATTATTTTTTGCCGGTTTGGGCCCCAAGAGTCAAGGGTAGGGGGGTTTCAGGGCGGGCTTGCCCCCCATACCTAATTTTATATGGAGTAGGGATGCAGGGGGGTATGCCCCCCTGAATTTTACCATAATTTGATGTTTTGCAGTTAGGTTGCTTCCCTGTTCTTTGTGTTGCCTATTTGGTCATCAAGACTTCCGGATTTCTTCTCTGGATCATCCAGAGACAATCTGGATGAAAACTATATGGGTGGTGGACTTTAACGAACGGAACTACAAGACACAAAATCACCTCTGTTCTTAGTCTGAACTCCTGACAATTGAGGGGTGTAAGAGTCACACTGGTTGTAAAGTGGGTATTGTTCTTTCCACTTTGCTTGTACTTGTATCCTTCGTTTTCTGAAAGGCTTGTCCTTTTTTTTCGGGTTTCTCTGGTTGAGACCCTTTGAATCGCCTTCTTTTGCTTAGCCTAAGGCATCATTCTTTCATTCCCCAACAGTAAACAGGTTACAATGGAATGGTATCCACTGTAGCAGAACTGATTTCTGCAGTGTTAAAAGTGTCTGAATGCAACTGAATTCAAAGTAAGAGCCTCTGCTGAATTTTAGAAAATAACCAAATTCCTCCTCAGTGGGATGTTGGAGTGGATGCAGTCCTACCCGATGTAATGTTAAAAACAGCCAAGTTCTGTAAGGGTTAAGACCTTTTTCTCACAAGATCTGGACTTATAATGAAAGGTTTTATATTTTGATTGGGTAAAGAAAATTATGTCTTTAGGCATCTAAGTTTATATTTTTATTACCATTTCCTTCTGTTACTCATTTGCACACGTTGAATGTTGTAAGGCTTAAAAGTAATTCATAAACCATTTCATTTTATTTTAAAATGATTCTTTTGCAAATGCCAGTGGTTCTTTTCGTAAAAAGAAATCCATTGTATCCACAGCTGTTGCTGATGCTATTCGCACCAGCCTTGGACCAAGAGGGATGGATAAAATGGTAAGTAAACTAAAAGTCAAATTAAAATTTTTAGTTTTTCACCCGAAATTACAATTTTGAGTATTTCACAAGTCTACGTCTGCCATAGTCCATCACCTCATCCACCCTTCCTTGGAACTGAAATTTTTTACCTGTACTTCTGGGTGGTTCATAATATATATACGTTGTCTCGCCTGTTCTATACATATCTTTTTGGCTTGTGGGGTTTATTTTATGCATTTTGTCTTCTTTGTAAAAACTTTGTTTATCATTTCTCAAATGTCCTGAATGGGGTTTTATTATTATCCAAGAGCGGACACAATTTACAATTGACATTATTATCACTTTGGTTTCCCTTTCATGATTTGTCACAAAGTTGATAGTGGGACTTCGTCGCTAAATGTTACTTCAAATTTTTTATAATGTGCAAAAAATGAACTTATGCGCTCTTTGTCTAATTAATATTATACTTGTTTTTGTTTTGTGTAAAGATCCAAGCTTCCAATGGAGATGTCACGATCACCAATGATGGAGCGACAATCTTGAAACAGATGCAGGTCTTGCATCCAGCTGCCAAGATGGTAATGAATAAATTTTAATGTTTTATAATTGTTGGCAGATTCCATGGTTTGCATCTTTTCATGTTTCCGCGTAATAGTATTGTGAAGCTTTAACCCTATCATTTGTCATTTTGTACCCCAGGGTTGTATTCTTCACATTTTAGAATACTTCTCGTGTGAAAATCTCTTGAAACTTTCAGTATATCTCAAAAAATCATTTTGACAGATGACTGCTATGTAAAGCGTACAGATCGGATTAACGAGTAAATTTCCTCTTTGGAAAGTGGTGGCACAGAGTTCCCCACGTCATATGGATACGATAGTAAAGCACGACGTACGGATAGGGTTAATTATGTACATTGACATGTGCCAAAATTTGTCCTTCTTGTAAGAACCCACTTTTTATGGGCAAAATAGAAGTAAAAAGAATTTGATGGTCAGGCGTACTGTTTTAAATTTTGAGATCAAAACTTTCCAACTGTTATAGTTTTTGACACACACACACTTGCGCGCTCATATGACCATATGCAGTTGTGAGCGCCGTAAAACCCTCTACTAAAACTAAAGTTTTTGACAGCCTCGTCGATTTAAGTTTCAGCTGGTTGGTACCACATTGTCCCTTTTTTGTCATTTCAAGGCTTTCGTTTGTCTTGGATAACTAAGTTTAGATATTTCTTTCATTTTCATAGCTTAATAAATTTTACGGCAAATTGTTGGACCTTTTGTTTTTCACTATGGTTCTTTTCTAATTTTTCAAGAAATTGAATAAAACTACTTTAAAGTCTTTCTTTCCCACATTGTGCTGTCAATAACGTTAAGAAATGCTTTTTGTTTTACATCATTGAAATATTTTTTTCTTCCCCCAGCTGGTTGAGCTGTCTAAGGCTCAGGATGTTGAAGCTGGAGACGGAACCACTTCAGTTGTTGTATTGGCTGGAAGTTTACTTGATGCCAGCTCCAATCTTCTTGAGAGGGGTCAGTGGTTTTCTTTTTTGATGGGATTGTAGACAGTATGTATTGTGAGGAGAGGTCTTGGACTCGACGTCTTCCCACCACAAAATGTCCTGTACATGAGGCTTAAAAATCTTTTAGATTTTGTGTAGATAAATGCTTTGTACAAACGTTTGCCAAAGGATGCAGTGGGTTTTTCTTTAGGTCCTATCAGTGATGTAGCAACAGGTAAGGCAGTTCTGGAAATTAAGAGTTGAAACCCTTAAATATCCCTAATATGAACCATGTTTGGTTGCAAAGCTAAAGTGGCATCACGATTTGTATACTGTAAGTTGCACATAAACTCTTGTCCTGCGTCTGTGCTGAGATTCGAATCTTATCGGCAACCTATTACGTCTGATGTTCCGGGCAGGCCGCCGGGGTCACTCAGCGTGTTCTGTTGGTGTCCAGCGAGTGCGCCTAGAAACGTGTGTTTTCGCCATGAATACCGTGGGAGTGTATTAATTGGTGATGAAAATAAGGCTCTTTTATAGCTTTCTATTTATAAAGTGTTACGAACACATGAATAACCCCCTCTTATAAGCTGATAAGAGATTACGAGTAGTTACACCCATTCGAATAACCTTTTTAGACGCTCTTATTGTTATGAATTGTCTGGGGTTCGAAGGGGGATAATAAAGGTCAATTTCTCAATGTTTTGCTCTCCAATTGTTCTTTTCACCTGCACAATGGTATTCAATACCATCAAACAAGCTTATTTTTTATCAGGGAGTATAATTTCATACAAAATCAAGCTCATTTGAAAGATTTTGTATAGAAAAATGGAAATCTTGTTTCCTGACTATCCTTTCGAGCTTCTCATGTCTAAGTGGGTCAATTTGTTATAATTTCATTGGAGGAACAGCCAGAGCTACCAACTTAGCGTGTTTTGAATGAGACATATGCCTCAGTTACGGAACCAACGCAGGCGGTTCTAGAAGTAGACCACAAATGCACACACTTGAGCTGCGTGAATGTGGGCCCGATGTGTGACCCGAATGAAACGGAGATGGTGCTCGGTGCACCGCACCGGGACCGGAACAAAAGCGAGGGGCCGAAATAGGCTTATCGGGTGACATAAACCCGGCCCCCGCAGGTCCAGGGTTAATAGAGGTATTGCTGCCTCTTCTCTCTCTTTCCCCCCCCCCCCCCCTCTAGTGATGTGCAGGGCTGCGATAAATATGTGGGTCTTTTTTCCTTGTTAGTGTTCTGTGCAGTTAGATTTTCTAGTCTCCAGTGTGATGATATTCTCACAGACCTGTACTGATGCTATGTGAGGAGGGTAATGAACTGATGGAGACTGGCAGATCTTTTTTTTTTTAAACTTACGCGAGAGCCTTGTTTGTGGGTTTAATGTGATGTTTGACTTTGTTAATTGGTTGTGTGGTACAACATGTAAATTGTTTGTTTTTTTCAAGCCAGTGTTTTATGTCTTTGCAAGATCCTGAAATATGCTGGCGTCTTTATTGTGCCAAGTTAAACATTGTTATGGTCTAGCTCTTTACCTTGTTCAATAGTGTTGTTGTTTAAAATCGAAATCGCTGTTTTTAAACCTAAATTTCTCTGTATTTTAAGATACTTCAACCATTTTTGCTATGAACTAATGTTAACACAACCAACTTCTGTCCTGCGCGTTTGCGGAACCTTATGCAATTGCGAGTGTCATTAAAATTTTACCAAACTGAGTCTTACCTTCTACCTTCTTGAACAAATACATTAGCTGGATTCTTGCATTGGAAAGAAATTTTGATGATTGTGTCTTTTTGCTGAAGAAGTATTGAAGATTGACCCTGACAGGCATGGTGCAAAAGCATTTTCAAAATGGTTTTGTTTCATTAGTCTTCTCGGATCACACTGTTTTATTATTTCACTTGATGTTACATCCACAGGCATTCACCCAACTGCTGTCTCCGAGTCATTCCAGCGAGCTGCTGTGAAAGCCACAGAAATCCTGGAGTCCATGGTCACACCTTTAGATTTGAATGACAGAGAGTCATTATTGAAAAGTGCTTCCACATCTCTCAACTCAAAGGTAAAAGGAAACGTTTCTATTCCTTTTCTGTTGCGAGGCGGTGCGGTTTGTCAGGATTCCCCACTTTTGAATTCCAGTGTGTTGGCATCTTGTTTATGATTCTACTTTTTTCTTTTTGGCATAAAGATTACTGAAATAGATAACATTGATCAGTGATCTCTATGTGATGAAATTCTTTCACAGACCTGTACTGAAATAATGTGAGGAATGTTTTGGTCTGATGGAGCCTGTTCATTCATGTTGGGAGAGGGGGGGGGGGGGTGTTTATGGGAATTTTTGTTTTACATCATAAGTTGAGTATTAGATGTCTTATTCTTTTCTTCTTTTTTTTAAAGCTCTGGATTCAAGCATTTACCACAATATCATGCTAGTTCAGCTTTCTTTAAAACAACTTTGTTGGCAAGCTGTACCAGAACTGTCACTCAGGTCGTAAATGGTAGTAAATGCGCCTTGAAGGTAGTAAACATTTGGTAAACGGTCGTAAATTAATCTGCTTAGGGAGTGATGAAGCCAAAACAGGCTTCATTGAACCCTAGCCGCGGTACATGACTCCGTTTTAGCCGGTCGCTATTGTGATATAATATTCGTTCTCCTTTTCCCCGTCCGAGAGTACGTTTCACGCAAAAAGCCAGCTATGGCGGCAGGCAAAAGTGTGCATGACACCGAGGCTCGATCGGGAAAATCAAGATCTAATCAAGATCTAATCAAGATCTACTTTCGCTTTCAGAAATAAGCCGGTGATAGACTGATAACTAACGCAACATTTGTGACATGCAGGTTGTGCAGTATAGATATATATATATATTATATATATATTGATCTGTCTAAACGCTGTGCCGCCACGCAAATAAAATTTACTCGGATTCGTCTCTCTGCTGTAATTGTCACATGGGGAGGGGGGGGGGAGAGAAAAGAAAGTACAAGCGTCCTCTGATTTTTAGATTGTCGGGCTCGCCATCGTAACAGGTCAATGAACCTGTGCGCGCGTGAGCACCGGCGTTTGTTGTTGGGGTCGCCAAAATTCATTCAAAGCCTGAGCGTTGCGAAGTATAGGCCTAGGACTACCGAATGGGGTAGGGGATTATTGATTTTTTTAAAAGATGCACTCGGGGGAGGGGGTGGGGGTGCTAAAGGCAACACCAGAGGACAAAAACTTTGTATGGGTGATAGTAAATTATAACAATATTGTAGCTTTCTGTTCAAGGCTGGCAAATTTTCATTGTCTCTGCATCTCCCCCCCCCCCCTCAGTTCTTACAACTCTCGCACTTCATAGGTCTACTGGGGGCATTCAAGTTATTGAGTTTGAGCAATAATTTTTTCATTTCATGTTCATAATATTATGAGTCATGACACCCACATTGGTTCTTCACAGTCGAAATTCTTGTTCAAGGCCCTTCCGAACGCTCAAAGCAGGATTCTTTTTTTAATATAATATAATAATGAGAGGAAAATTTATAACTCACTGAAATACTTAGGCTAGTCAAACAGGACCCCAGTTCAACACTGACATATGTTGTTGACTGGGTATATTTTGTGTGTGTGTGTGTTATGTAACACGCCCCTGGAAAATGGATGACTTTGTTGCGTGTTATTTTCGTTCCATATGATATATTATGTAGGCCTAATGATAATATATGTTAATGATGGCGCAAATGAACTCCCTTTTTCGAACTGGTGTGGGACTTGATTTGCTGGGTAGTAATTTTTTTTTTCCAGGTAGTAAATTTTTTCAGCAAATATTGCTGGACACCCTGACCATGGCAGTGTAATATGTGGAACTAGCTTGGGGGGGGCTTTCTTCTTCCTTCCAACTCGCTTAAATGTTGCCCGCTTATTCCTTCCATTGTTTTGGAAATGCCACTGAAATGCCTTTCACTTTCAAGTCATTTCTGTGTTTTGTTTTTGTTTTATTATTATATGTACAAAGCAAGGACTACTATACTCAAGGACGTGCACCGTCGGATTCCTGACTTGGCTAGCGAAGGCCATCATATAAACATGTCCAACTTATCACTAGGCACAAGATACATTTCATATTGAGTGTGAGAAAGCTAAAACCTGTTGTAATGTTGTTGAACGCAATATTGTAGCATAGTAATACATGTTATTTCTATATTTTTGTTATGTCAAGCAGAAATATTAGTCTGAAAAGCATTTTAAAAATGTTTACAAATACAGCAACAAGAATTAGGCTGACTCACCAAGTGAATCCGCCTTACGTGCCTTCTTGATGGATGTCTGTAGCAGGGCTGCATTCTTTTGGTGATCCTTCTCTAGATTGTGCACACCGCGGAGTAAGACATTTGCGAGATGATGGAGCAGTTTCTTGGACTGAACGATGTCGAAGTCGTTAAATTCCCCCATGGTTGATAGAATTCCAACAAGTCTCTGACGACAACAAACTCTATTTTTTTGCTTTCTTTACAAAGGAAAGTCCAATCCTAGTCAGTTCATACGTAGACATATAGGGGGTTCACAATGCCTCCTGTCTTTTCTACTAGAGCCGTAGCCTCCTTCACAGCCTCGAATTGAAATGATGCTGTAAGTTTATGTACTGGTATCACTGACATCATAATGCTAGGTCCACCATGCAAGCATTTGACCATGATACATAACATGGATGTCGCTCTAGAATCCGGTTCATTTTTGGCCATGCCGCTGAGGACACCACCAGAGAAAGCTACAGTGGGTCAGATCTTTACCTCGTCGATCAATAAAAACACATTCTTTTGTTGAGGTGTTTTAAGTTTTTGAAATGTTTTTTAAAAAACACTTTCAATCTCTAAGGAGGAAACAACAGACTTTATTTTTCTTGTACTTTGCTAGACCAAAGTGTCTCTTAGTTGTTCATAACTGCAGCGGGGAAACGATTCGATAGCGAAACAGTAATCACTTACAGAAAATTGTTTGTGAGTCAACAGTTTCAGCTGATGAGTTATAAAGTCTAGCTTTCTTTCCCTTTTCTTTTCCTGAATAAAAGAACAAAATAATAGAAAGCTTCTAGTTTACTGGACCACTAGGCAATTACAAATTACAAGAAATCAAGATCTTAACTTTACCTTAGTTTACTCTAGTCCTTCAAAATTTGTTGATTAGATCTATATCTAGATTTACCAATTGTAAACATCAACTGTCTAGGTACGAGATTTTATCAGTAGGGAAATGAAAAAATAATCCTTTTTTTTATAAACCACTGGATTATATGTACTGCAAAGCAAGGATCGACATTGCTTTTTATTATTTTTTAAAACTTAATCCTACACTACTGGTCCAGTATACTAGGCTCTTACCTTTGGGTCTTCAAGTTTTGTGCAACGTGATTGTTCCAATACTTCCACAACTCTCTCAAGCACAACATCCAAAGGAACTTTATAGTTTAGGGCGACGTGCACACACTCAAAAAATTGGGTGTAGGAATTCAATCCGTTATTTGGATTTAATATTTTTCCCAAGGGAACTCTGGATCCTTTCTTGAATGCGGTGAGTGTAAGAGGGGAGCACAATGTTGGTTTATTCTCAACAACTACTGATAAAACACACTCTTCACAATGCTCGGTCATGAACAGGCAAACAAATCTGTCCTCTGTTCTTGAAAGAATTAAATTGTCATATTTCTTGTGGAGTTCCTTTTCTGGAGAAAATTCTGAAAGGCTACAGATTTTACCTTTTTTCATGAAATGACGGAGTTGCTGACCTTCTTGTTTGGATGGACGAGGGGGTGGTTTTGGCGTTGGTAGGCAAGATGAGGGAACATCAAATAAACTCGGCTGATCTACTGGTCGAGTGTATCCTCCAGGTAATTTAATCACAGGATAATCTGATGGCCAATGCCTTTCACAGATAAGTTTTCACGAGGGGGTAAAACAGAAAGCCATCTTTGTCCCTCAAGTCCTTCTTTTGGTACCTTGAACACTCGACATTTATTGTCTTTATTCTAGTTACCTTGCAGTTTACAACCCCACATTTATTCGGCATGGTGAAATCAAACTATCCTTGCGCATAGACGGGCCGATTAATTCACAATAATCCACAGAATTAACAAAAACTCTCCGAGAAACATGAGGAGAGGAACAACATTTGACATTGAATCGTATACATTGATCACTGCACTTCTTTCCGGAAGGATGCGCTTACGCGGATAAATGGTGACCATAATTATGCTTACATTTCTTTGCTTGGAATCTTAATCAAAAATAAAAATATTGACACCTTTCAATATCTGATTCATTTCTGCATCATTTTTATTAAGATCAACGAATTTTACAGATAGGATTCATTCTACTTCAAAGGAGATAAATAGTCCCCGATTCCTACGAACGAGTCAAAGCTAAAGATAAGGCACTGAGTCAGTATGGGAATATCCGGAGTGTTTGACTCGATGGCCTTCGCTAGCCAAGTCAGGAATCCGACTGTGCACGTCCTTGAGTATAGTAGTCCTTGGTACAAAGCAAATTTGTGCATGAGGTAACATTATGATTGTCCTTCTTTGTTCTCCAAGTGATGATAATTTTCACAGACCTGTACTGAAATTGAAATAATGTGAGGAACGTTTTTATCTGATGGAGGCATGCTATCATTACAACTGCATTTGACTATAATTTGGAGGGGGTTCCAGGGGATGATGGGAGTGTGGACTGTGCCTTTGAATATTTTTTGCTCAAAGTATGATACATTTTCTACATACAGGGTGATCGCTCAAAGTATGATACATTTTCTACATACAGGGTGATCGCTCAAAGTATGATACATTTTCTACATACAGGGTGATCGCTCAAAGTATGATACATTTTCTACATACAGGGTGATCGCTCAAAGTATGATACATTTTCTACATACAGGGTGATCCAAAAAGAACTACAGCTTTTTTTTTCTGAATATCTCGCCCAAAAATTGTTTTAGAATGCTATTTGTAACAGACCTAATTCATTCAAAAGGAATTGTTTGACATAAAATCCACAAAGAAGAAACTTATTTTGAAAACGGAAATAGCTTAAAGAAAAAAACTGGCAGAAATGCAAAGTTCACCAGTTGTTGTTTTTTTTATCTTTTAAAGGAAGTCGTGAAAAGATTGGTTGACTTTTTCTTTATTTTCTCTTTAACATTTAATTTTCCATACCTGTGACATTAAAAAAATATTTAATTTCTTTTACAGAGTTTTAAAAAACTAATGATTGCGTTAGGAAATTCCTAGAAGCAGTGCTCTACATGCTCTCCTTTGGACTCGACACATTTTTAACTTGTCGAAATGTTCAGTGGTGCCGAAACACAAGGACCTGCTAAACCATGGGTGTGTAAAGCCACATACTCTGTACATATTCAGTATGAAGTGGCTTCTAGAGGCAATAGGGAGTGGGGTGTCCAATAGACAGCATTTTTAGAGTTACATATCCCGTAGGGTGAAAATGGGCTTTGCACTAAATCTAATGTCATTGAGGAAATGATCCTGCTTTTCAAAACGATCGAGGAATCATGAACACATTGCCATGCTCTGATCCATGTCATCTCGGCCTAGCAAAGATGAAAATGGTACAGTCGTAGGTTAAGATCTGCCATGAGAATGCAGACTGTTGAAGTGTAGGAAAGTTCTAGTTGCAGATGGGACTCGACTACTGAGGGCTGTACATAGTGAGTGTTCAACCTGAAGTGGTCATTTAGAAATATTTAGTACTGATCCACTCTTGATCCAAACTGACAGTACTTCTCTACTCGTAACATCAAAGGTCTTGAGGGCACCTAAGCATTCTTTCCATGCCATGTGCAGGACTTACGAAATTTTAGGGATGATGAGTTTGTGGAGAGGTATTGTTCAATACAAAAAGCTTTCTCCTCTTTACTAATTGTAACCACGATTTCAGCAGGCAAACGAAATTTGGAAAAAATAATATAATATCTGTAGACTTCTGTATGTTGACTTGTTAGACTGCTGTAGCTTGCAATATGGAGCGAGTGTTGCCACTTTTAGTGGTAGGCCTAATGCGAACTGGTGCTTCAAGGTTGAAAATGGGTTGTTTCTTTAATGCGCCATATGGAGCAAAACTGTTCAATGGGCTTCTCTAAAAGGAATATCAGACAAATTCCATTTGGCTTCCGAATATTATGTTTAAATCTGAAAATCTGAAACGCAAAACTTCAGCATGGAGGAAGATATGTACAAAACAAGTTTTACAGTTTGTTGGGTTTTTTTATCACCCTGTATGTGGGTAAATTTTTTAGATGTCACAACCTGGAAGTGCAGATGTGTTGTAAGCTTGTCTTGTAACATTCCACTGCCATTGTAAACGTCCAAGACAAATTTCTCCCTGTGAGATGAATCAGGATTGTCATTGTTAGGGTTTCACTCAAATGACTCTACAGTATTTGCCTTTTTATTCTGGGGTGGGTCTGACATTACTGAAATTATTTAAAGACAAACTAGTTCTCTGCGCTCATATGACCTTGCGCAGTTGCGAGCCCCGTAAAACCTTACTAAAACTAAAATTAGTTCTCTATATGATGATATTTTTCACAGACCTGTACTGAAACAATGTGAGGAATATTTTGCTCTGATGGAGACATGAACCTGGAATTTAAGGGGTGGGGGTCCATTGTGCAGGGAAACTTTTACTGAAGTATTGCAAAATTTAGAAACCTACAGAGTAAAATTTATTTGTTTTTATTGTAATGTGATTTCGATTGGTGATTTCGATTGAGTTTGAACCAACTTGATTTAATGGGACCTGCTCATTCTTTCCTTTGATTTGGCTGTCACTTAAATGCCTTTCAGATAATTTCCCTTTTACTTTATTAATAACATCCTCTTTAAGGCGAATATTCATACAAGTAATATTTTCTTCGTGGGGAAAACATTTGTTTTAGGTTCAAATTATTTAGAGACAAACTTATTTGAATTAAAGTTCTCTATGTGATGATATTTTTCACAGACCTGTACTGAAACAATGTGAGGAATATTTTGCTCTGATAGAGAAGTGAAAGGAGATTTTAGCAGATGGGGATCCTTTGTGGTTGGAAATTTGTTTTGAAGTATCACAGAATTTAGAAACTGTAGAGGATATATTGTAATGGTGATTTCAATGAAGTTTCAACTAAATTGGCTCATTCCTTCCATCATTTTAGCTGTCACTTAAATACTTTTCGCTTTCAAATAATTTCCCTTATATTTTATTACATACATCCCTCTAGGGCGAATTTTCACTGAAAGTAACATTGTCTTTTAGTTGGGAAAACAGCTTTTTGTTTTAGGCTCGAATTATTTGGAGACAAACTTAATGTTCTCTATGTGATGATATTTTTCACAGACCTGTACTGAAACAATGTGAGGAATATTTTGCTCTGATAGAGACGGGAGCCTGGAATATAGGGGGTGGGGTTCCTTTGTGAGGGGAAACTTGTATTGAAGTATTTAGAAACGTAAGGGTATAAAATGTATTTTGTCTTTATTGTAATGTTGTGATTTTGATTGAGTTTCAACCAACTTTGTTTAATAGGACCTGCTCATTCCTTCCATTGTTTTGGCTGTCACTTAAATGTCTTTCAAATAATTTCCAATTTTATCTTGTCTTATTACATACATCCCTGTTTAGGGCGAATATTCACATAAAGTAACATTGTCTTTCGCTGGGAAAACAGCTTTTTGTTTCAGGCTCAAGTTATTTAGAGACAAACTTATGTGAATTAAAGTTCTCTATGTGATAATATTTTTCACAGACCTGTACTGAAACATGTGAGGAACATTTTACTGTGATAGAGAAGTGAACCGAGATTTTAGCAGATGGGGGGGTCCTTTGTCATTGAAAATTTATATTTCGATGAAGTTTCAACCAACCTTTTTTAATGGGACCTGCTCATTCCTTCCCTTGATTTGGCTGTCAACTAAATGCCTTTAACGTAACTTTGCCTTTCGTTGGGAAAACAGCTTTTTGTTTTAGGCTCAAATTATTTAGAGGCAAACCTATTTGAATTGAAGTTCTCTATGTGATGATATTTTTCACAGACCTGTACTGAAACAATGTGAGGAATATTTTGCTCTGATAGAGACGTGAACCTGGAATTTTTAGGGGTGGGGGTCATTTGTGAGGGGAAACTTGAAACTTGTGTTGAAGTTTTGCAGAATTTAAAAACTATAGAGTTAATTTTTTGGGTCTTTTTTGTAATGTGATTTCGATGGAAGTGTCAAGATATGTATGATGTGGGAAGCGCTTTATTTTAAAAAAAACTTTTTTGGTAATTGGCCTTTTGCTGTCTCTCTCTCTCTCTCTCTCTCTCTCTCTCTCTCTCTCTCTCTCACTCTCTCTCTCTCTCTCTCTCTCTCTCTCTCCCTCCCCCTCCCCCCACACATGGAGGGGCTCTGTTAATTCAATACACTTATTTCAGCAATTTCATCAGATGCCAGGGTTTCTATTGGAAGTGTTTTTACTTCCACCTATTTTTTATTTTCTTTATGTTTGCTGTTACTGTTCTCCAAGTGATGATAATTTTTCACAGACCTGTACTGAAACAATGTGAGGATTGTTTTGATCTGATGGAGACATGTCTATTTCTGTACACAAGTTATATTTTTCTGGGGCAGGGGGGATGTGAGTGTGAAAGTTTGTTTGCTGTTGTCCCATTCAGCTCAGTAGTGTGGTGGTTATCTACAACTATTTCTATGCTGTCTGGAACTGTTTTTTGTTGCTCGGACAAAAGTTTTGGCATGTCCAGCAACACCATTGTAACAACGGGGAAGGTGTTTGGCGAATCTTGGTCTCAGAAATTGGCCTTTGTATCGCAATCTGAAAGTTCTCCACAGCAGCAGTTGACATAAATCATAAGATAATTGTCTGCAGCTCCCTAGTCTTGGAATATATGAGCAGACTCTATCGCTATTAGATAGTTTGTTGTTTTTTGTATACTGGATGGTGAGTGGGGTTGTGCTTCTTTTTCCTAGTTTGAACAAAAAGTGGCCTCCTGCCTGGAGGATGATATTCTCCAGATGAAGATATTTTCACAGACCTGTACTGAATTAAAATGAGGAATGTTTTGATCTGATGGAGATATCATTTTGTGCCTTTGTTAAGAATTGTCTAAATCTCAGGTCGTCATGTGTGTTCAAGCACCGTTTCTTCTTTAAATGTTTTAATATTCTTTTGCTTTTTTTTTTTTCTTCCCACTTTCAGGTCGTTTCACAGTACTCTTCAATCCTCTCCCCAATTGCTGTTGATGCTGTAATGAAGGTTATAGATCCAGCAACTGCTAAAAATGTTGATCTCCAAGACATCAAAATTGTCAAAAAGTTGGGGTAAGTGACATAGTCATGCTTTGATGAGATTTATTTCTTTTATTATGTATAACATTGACTTGATCATGAACTTATGTCATTATGACAGCACCATAATTATTTTCTGGAATATGTGCCTTGTACTCACATTATTTAGATGAGCTCTAAGGTAGAAACATTGTGGCAACATTATTCCAGAAATATAAAAGGGGTTTTGGGGGTGCCATTGGTAGGTCCTACTTCTTTTCCTTCCCTCTGTGTGTGTCGAGTCTGTCTTACTTTTTTCTCGTGCTCTAAATTGCTATTTCTAAGCCAGTGTGCTTTTTTAGTCGGGAAGTTAGTGAGGGGAAAGAAAGTTGACCTTTTGCGTTCATTCATTTGGGGTCAAACCCAAAGTCAAATATTACTTGTGTATTTCATTACTGTTCATCTTCATTGCTTTCTCACCCTGCACCAGGGTATAGTATAGACCACGGACAAACACTTTCCACCTTTCTCTATCCTGGGCTAGCCTCTTGATGTTGCAGTCGAACCTGCCCTAATGGACACTTTCCATTCCCCCCTTGCGTTTTTTCTATATAATTTAACGCAACCACCATATTTTAACACACAACCCCTATCACACCAAGCAATAACACCTGTCTTAGACAGCCACCTTAGTGACTCCATTGCGTTATGTAATAAATGGTGCATTGGCCCCTGGCGTTGTATACGAGCCGTCGTAATCCATTCACCTGTCGTTATTGTTAAGTAGTCCCTCCAACGATCATATGGTGTAGGCCCCTCCCACTGTTGACCAGTAGGTAACAAATTTTCAGCTGCTGGTTAGGTAAGCGTGTGATCCCTCATAACCCATAAGCCCCGTCCAGAGCTCATACACAAATCGTGAGATGAGTGGTCACTGTTTACCCAGTCTGTAACAATGGACGTCAACATGAACTTGCGACAGAAGTGTCGTTCGTTCTCTGAGTGGTGGCTACCCATGTGTTTTTACCACAGCATTTTGTCCTCCCTGTCTGGCACATTTCGTTTTATTGTCACCCGTGCACCAAAGGAGCAAGAAAAGAAAGAAAACAGCAATGCGGCTACCCCAGAAAGGAATGGTTGGTTTTCTTCATCTTGGTCAGTCCTGCCTAAGACAGCCACTTTTCTCCTTGACAATGGGTGGCCGTCTTACACGGGTTCGACTGTATTCCATGTCTTCCCACTTTTCTGTACATCGATTTTTGTGATTCTGCTCCAGGTTCCACGCGGTTTGACCTCTTACTCATTACTGTTACCATTGTGGGGGGAAAAGTTAGGTGGTAGGCTCAGTCTTACTTCTTTTCGTTCCCTCTTTTATTCTGTCTACATACTTTTCTTACACTAAATTACCATTATTGTGTGATTGTACTACTTTTCTTTGCTCAAAAAAGTGAAAGCACTTCCATTGTGATGTTTCTACTTATAATGTGATTTCAGTGGAACCGTTGAGGACACAGAACTGATTGACGGACTGGTCTTCACAAGCAGAACCTCTGGGGCAGGAGGACCCAACAAAGTAGAGAAGGCAAGGATTGGTCTCATCCAGTTCTGCATTTCCCCTCCAAAGACTGATGTAAGTCAGATTGATGTTGACGGTTTTGTTTGGGGGGGTTTTAATTGAATCGTTAGCATAGTTTGCCTGTCACAGGTATTTATAGAAAATTTTAAATCGCATGTTGATTTTTTAAATTTTGAATTACAGTTAGGCAGGCAGGTCCTGAAATAGGCGGGACACGCATATTTTGGCTATGTACATGTTTGAAAATACAAAGAATATGTATGCATTTTAAAAAACTGGAACCTGAAAATAGACTGTATGTGCAAAAACATTTGTAATGTGATTTTTATTTTTCATCCTTTTATTCAGATGGACAATCAAGTCATCGTGTCAGACTACGCCCAGATGGACAGAGTGCTGCGAGAAGAAAGAGCATACATCCTGGATATTGTGAAAAAGATCAAAAAGGCCAACTGCAATGTCCTGCTCATTCAAAAATCTATTCTCAGGTGAGCATTGTTTGAACACCACCTATAAGAGAAGACAACAAGGAAGAAGTATGTGAACTTTCTTATCTCAATTGATGTTGCTGAATGCAAGGGGTCAACAGGAGTTTAGTTGTGACTTCAAATACGTCTTCTTTTTTTTTTTTATGTTTGGTTGACTGACGTTTTTTTAAAAATTCAAAAAACTTTACAGGTGGTTTTTGCTTGTTTCTTTTGATGCTATCTACAGTGTAGAACCGATTGTGTTAGTTGTTTTTTTTTTGTACACATGATAATGACGTTCACAAACCTGTACTTATGGTCAATGAAGATACTAGGATATCTGATGCAGTATTTTTGCCGGCGTCTTTATCTCATTTCCCTTTTTGATTTGTTTTTGTTTTTTTTTTTTTTTTTTCTTCCAGGGATGCTGTGTCTGATCTCGCTTTGCATTTCCTGGCCAAGATGAAAATTTTGGTTGTCAAGGATGTGGAGAGAGATGATGTGGAATTTGTATGTAAGGTAAGTTTTAATACTGTGTGTAAAGAATTTCCTTAAAGATATCCTAGAATCTTTTCCTGCTTTGGGTATTCAGTATTGGTGTTTGAATTTTAAGAAAAGGTTGCTTTTTTAAGCATTATTTTGATTTGGTACTTTTTCTTTGTAATGGAAGCTGTTTTTTTTATATTTTTTAATTTATTTATTTCTATTGGAATGTGTTTCAAAAGTTTGCTACTTTCTTTCTCACAGACTATCGGCTGTCGCCCAATCGCCAGTGTTGACCACTTCACCCCAGAGAATCTCGGAACAGCAGAATTGGTAGAAGAGGTACAGACCGGAAGCAGCAAAATTGTGAAGGTACGATCTATATGGAACTAACTGATAATGAATCACCATACCATGTCTCCTTTGTACTGCATGGGTCTCAGTTTTTTTTAAAATCAAGACTAAGCATATTGTCATGATGCTTGTTTTCCTGGTTGGTCTACAGACCCACTTTTTTGGGGTATCAATAAATTTTTTTTTTTTTACTTTTCAAAGTTACATAAAATTTTGGAAAATGACTATGGCAGGGGCTGCTTTGTTGACATGTGTACATCTCATATAGTTAATTTGTAGACTTGCATGACTAAAAACTCCAGATTGAATCATATAAAGTGATTTATCACTGTGTAAGTCAAACATGTGGTTTGTACTTTACTTTGAGTTCCCCCTTATTTTCAAGTGTGCTGATTTAATAACGATACTTTTGTGTTCACACTGCTTTATTACGTGAAAGTGCTTGTTTTCGTTGAAGTCCACCCGCTCTTAAAATAATGTGTGAAATTGTTTTGTTTTTCAGATGACGGGAATCCAAGTTCCAGGCCAGACTGTGACTGTCCTCATCAGAGGCTCCAACAAGCTGGTGCTTGAGGAGGCTGACCGTTCTCTCCATGACGCTCTGTGTGTCATCAGATGTCTTGTCAAGAAAAGGTGAGAAGATCTTGCCACTACAGCCATACTTTGTTATACTGCCAAGCTTTGTCAGTGCACGAAAAGAAACATCTATAATGATGCAGTTTAGTGTACATGGCTAACTGGTTTTCAAGTCCGAAATTTGTTTTTCCTTATACTTTCTTTGGATTTAAAACATGTACATGGTGAATTTTGTAGGTAGCAGAAAGATTCCTGCATCCTGCCAATTTCACCGTGTACTTGCAGAAATTAAGCTGTGGTAATCTTCCTTTTCTCCCACACAAGACTCAACTGACTAGGGCTTGTGGCCGGTTTTCTCCTTCCTTGCCCATCCCACTTCCCCTCTTTCATCTTGTAGATTTCAGACAAAACGTCGTTTAGTCTCTGATCTGACAGAAATGTAATTTTCAATAATATAAATGCTGTGCCTGCAACATTGGCTAGTATGTTGTACATGTACCACATTCATCATCATCGCTGATGATAATGGTGTATACCTTGGCATTTATGAGTGTTTCAGTTCTGCAAATAGAAATTATTAAATGTTTCTATTTCAGGGCACTGATTGCTGGCGGTGGAGCACCTGAGATTGAACTGTCAATGAAGTTGATGGAATACGCCAACTCTCTGAGTGGCGTGGAGCAGTACTGTTTCCGTAGCTTCGCCGAAGCCTTGGAAGTGATCCCTTTCACTTTGGCGGAGAATGCTGGGCTCAACCCCATTGCTACAGTCACAGAGCTGAGGACGAAACATGCAAGTGGGGAAAGAACTGCTGGTATCAATGTGCGCAAGGTAAGTTCGTACAATACAGATTGTAAATTGCCTAGAGCTTGCTGTTAAGGAAAGATGTGTGCTATACAAATGTTATTTATTATAATTATTAGTCCTTTGGAATAGAATGTTATCTTTGTGTTGTTGTTAATCAAAGGTTGAGAAATTTTTGTCTGTTGGTGCTTGTGCTGTTGTAAAATGTTTATGGTTATGTTAACTCTGACCATGGCATTCGTGGCTTGTCAAAGTTAGGATCATTGAGGTGTTCCAAGAGTTGCTGTACCGTACATCTATAAGCTTTATTGTTCCAGTCAGGATTGTCATTATCAAACAGGAAAACAATGTTTACTTCTCCACTGTCGCTTACGTTCTACAGCTGATGCAGTTATAGTATTGTGGGTGGTTGGCGGGTGCTCTGGTGTGGTTTGCTTCTTCTTTCCTATAAAAAATCCATCGTCCTTATCTCCCCTCCTTCTTTTTTATGTTTGTTACTCTCTTGTAACACCTAATCTTCTGACACTCATGTGACCTGTAGTTGCGAGCGCAGTAAAGCGTCTACTAATACTAATACTACTAGTTATTATAGTATTGGTTTTTTAAATATTTTTTTTTTAATCTCAGGGTGCGATCACAAATATCTTGGAGGAGAATGTAGTACAGCCTTTGTTGGTCTCCATCAGTGCCATTCAGTTGGCAGCTGAGACTGTTCGCAGTATCCTCAAGATTGATGACATTGTAAGTATACTGTCCTTGGTCATTTAGTTTTAATTGTATAAATGAAGGGAAAACGATACTATAAGGCCAAGAGTTGCTGAATGAGCTTATTGTGGGAAAAGATAGAAAGTGCTAATTCTGATGACATAATTTATTCAGGTGATTTTGGGAGGGGGGGTGGGGTGCTCATTCATATGACCGTGGCAGGGGTGAAAGTTAGGTATTACTTCCTCAGAAAAGTATATCTACAAAGACACACTGTATTGGAGATGGATCATTTAGGTTGTGTCACCATTTACTTGTACAAAGGAAAGCACTCCTAATGAATTTATTTGATGCGTAGAGGTAAAGCCTTTCTCTTTAGCATGTGGAAGACAGGATTCCCATGTGGGGAGAATTTTTATCTTATCAAGTACTTCAGTATTTCTTGCTGGTATGTTGTATCCCTCAGCACGGATTGGCCTTGACAGGCAGGGTTGAAGTTCTTCTCTTACGTTACCTAATTTGTGCCAATGGAAGAAAAAAACGCTTACATTAAAAGAATTCTTTTTTTGTTTTAATTTCCTTATATTTACATGTAAATTCCGATTTTGCGTCACATTTTTTGTTTTATTTTACTGTTTACTGTCTTTCTTGGTGTAAAGTAAAAACTTATGTGCTCATTGTGATATTTTAGTGTAATGATATATTGGGTGGTGACTGTTGAATGTTACCAAGATTTCTATCTTCAAAACAAAGGTGACCTGTCTGACATTGCAAGCTGTGGTCCCAGAGAAAGAAGGGCAAGATGATGCATACTGAGAGTTCCTTCTCATTTAATTGCTTTTGCAAATTGTTTTTTTGGGATTTTTCACTGTTTGTTGGCATTTATTCTATAAGCTTTGAAATGTTGGTTCAACTTCGTTTAGATCTCTGTACACAAACAGGGCTTCTGCGTGCACTACAATCTTCCTTGTTCTTTTTTCCTTAGAGAAAAAAATACCGTTATATGTTTGAAAACTGTTACTGTTGGTCTATCGGTTTCTTCTGTGGGCTGTCGTTTGATGTAGACATGGTTGTTTCCTTGTTTCCGTCAGAGCTGAGATTTTCCCTGATGTTGGGAGTTTTGTCTTGTAATGTTTGCTGTTCATGAGCTCTACAAAAAATTTTAACTGCTTTGCCCGTCTCCTACTTGTGCATTATTGTATTATTTTAACACACACACACAAATTTTACAAAAACTGAAATTTTCAGTGGACTGTGCTGTTGGTTTTCCCTAGTGTTCATTATGGTTCATCTTGCTGTACAGCTGTCAAATGTACTTTTGCAATTGTAACCAGCAAAGTGAGTAGGCTTACTACTCAGGGGTTGCTTAGGCAGATATCTCGAGGCAATACAGGTTTACCTCCAGAGGTCATGCCCCTCTGTTGGGTTGAGTTTCAAATGGTCTCAACAACTACATAATATGTATGTAAAAGGTCTACTACTGTATTTTACATTTTTATCCCCTCTTCATTTCTGCCTTATCTTTTTATCTAATAATTTATTATTCATGATTTTCTTTTCTCCTTTTCAGGTAAATTGTATGAGGAACTGAAGAAGGAGTGTGATAAACCTGATCATCTCACCTCATTTCTTAACTGACGCTCATCAGCCTATGTCACTCTTCATCTGGATTTGTATATTGACTTAGGAGTATCTGGAACAAATGAGTAATTTTAGAGCAACAGATGTCCACGTGCCCAGCTTCCTCGTAGTGTATGGAGTTTGCCTATGCACAGAAATATGCCTAATTGGATGGTTTTTTTACGCTCATTGTTCATTCTGTGATGTGTGCTATTGGTTTGCATCGTTTTTTTTAGTCATTATTTAAAATAAACCATTGTGACTTCTTTTTTTTTCAAAATGGTTTTGCGTGCTTTGTTTTTTCACAAACGTTGCTTTTTGTTTTCTGTTGTCTTAGAGAAATCTGAATAATATGGGTAGGGGGTACTGTCAGATTTTAAGGTGATTTGCTGACTTATAGTTTTCTGTGCTTACAATGTTCAGGGAACTGCAGTGTTATTCCCCCGCTGTATCCGAACCAGACATATTTGCTTTAGAGGCTAAAACTTTACCCAAAAGCAAAACCTAAAGAGCCCCCTACTGTTTCCAGTGCAATTGAGACACTTTTGAATAAGAATTAAATGTTCAGTCAGCAATCTGAGTGCATCGTGTACCTTTCAAGTATTGAGCTGTTTGAAAAAAGGATTGTCTTGAATTGTTTTTAAAAAATGTTCTGTGGTTCATTACTGCTTAGTCTAAATCAAAGGAAGAATACCGGTGTCTGTGGTGTAGCTGTTGTAAGGTGTTTCACTGTTGCATGCAAAAGGCGTGGGGTCAGGTCTCAAGTGGGAAAATTTTTTGGAGTATCTTCGCCAGTTTAATGGCACGTTGTTGCTGTCAGTCCAGGTTTGCCTTCACAGGCAGGGTCAAAGCTCGACTCAGGAATTATCCAAGTTGTGTCGATGGGGGCATTTTTAACAAAAGATTCCTAGTTGGTCGTCTGTTGACTGGACAAAGATTTGGTGGGGGGGGGGGGCAGCTGTCTCAGGATTCCAGACCTCTGATGGAGTGAGTAAGAAGAGTGGTTGGTGGGTGCTCTGGTGTGGTTTGTTCCTTTCCTATCCCACGTCTGTCATCCTCATCTCTCCTTTTTTTGTGTTTGATACTCTATTGTAACACCTCTAGTCTTTGGCACCTATATTACGACTTGTTGGGATGCGAGTACCATAAAAGAAGTGGGATTGTGTAAGATATGATGGAAAGACATTCATGTCGTAGTCATAGGCCCAGCCCTTGGCTTTGTACATATGGCATGTCGTATTTAGCGGCACCCTTGGACACTCTAGCGTAACAGAAAAATGACAGTTGGATGGGTGCTGTTGTACGGTACCTCTTTTCTGACGGCGATCAAAACGTGACCTCCAGTTTCTCCTCCTTGTCGGTTAAGAAGGGAAGTAACCGCGTGGCCGTATTAGTATTGTGAGAGCCATTGCTCATCTCCCTTACCTATCTCCAAAACTTGGCTTCAGACTCCGACACAAAGGAATAAATGTAAGATAAGCATGTACCAAGGTTCTTAGAAATTATTTTTATCCTCCTTCACCATTCGGAACTTGCTACTCCTACACACATTCTGTCCCCGTGGTTTTATGCACCCCGCATGTTTTAGCTAAATTTGATCCTTTTTTTTTGGCATAATTTCTGATTATTTTTCTTTATCATTCTTTGTTATAATTAAACTAGCGGCATCTGCGTTTGTTGCCATTTTTGTGGTCAAAAGTTGCCTGAAAAAGTGACCAAAGTTGCTATTAGTTTTCGAGCTTTCAACTCTCTGTGACGACGTATATATAGCCATATGTTGATAGACGTAATAAGCTAAAGCACCACAATTTCTTGTGCTCTGCATTTTAAGCATCCTGAATATCATTTGTAGTCTCCCAAAATGTAAAAACGTGAAAAATAAAGGTTTCACAACAGAATGAAATCAAGATTAGAACAGCACGGATAAATAAACACAAAAATTAACAAATTAAGGCGCGTGTCCACCTATCTGAAGATTGGCTGTTTTAACCCTAAATGTGTGTATTTCAAGAAAAAGAAGGCCTACTGGATATTACACGTAAATTATGGAATTACACACAATTGGGGCGTGTCAGTATTCGTTTTTGGTGGAGACAAGCTCTAACATAACACCTTTTTTGTTTTTTTAAGGGTAGGAACAGCATCAAATTGAATGACATTACGCTGTACAAACACGAAAAAAAAAGAAAAACAATGTTTAGAAAAATTAACACACCAACAAATTAAAACACAACATTGTTTTGTCTTTTTTGAAAAATGAAAAAGTCGCGATTCGCGGACCCAAAAAAATGCCAAAAATCGCGGCCGCGACAAACGCAGGTGCTAGTCTTACAGAATCGCATAATTTCACATTTTTGGGCTCTGTTTGCATAAGTTCAGAATTTTTCTTGCATAAAACGATGGGGACAGGCACATCGAGGGTCTCCACACTCTGTGACACCTCTTGTGGGTTGCTCTGACGACATGCGAGAAAGACCCGCCTTTCTCACTCTAAGATAGACCTATCCCTGAAAGGGGGGGGGGGGTAGCTGTGAATCTTAATATGTCGAGACAAATTAATAGTTGCAGAACGTTACAAAAAAGACGAGTTAAAAAAGGACAAGAATTTTTTTTTAATCTAGCAAAAACAAAACCTGGCTCCGATACTACTACACTAGTGTAGTACTAATCTACCTAATGTGACTCCGACGCACGAAAGGATAATTCGTAATTCGAGCTGGCAAACGTGTGTACGCCTAGACACCGGCGTCTGTGGTGTAGCGGGCTAACAGCTTCGGCATCGCATGCAGAAGACCTGAGTTCGATTCCTGAAATTTCCTGTGTGGGTACATTGTAGAATGTTTGTCTGGTATCTCGATCTTTTTTGCAAGGACGTTGTGTTCTTCTCAGACCGGGTTGGCCACGACAGGGTCAAATCCCACCTTTCACTCTAACTCTAAATCGTGTCGATTATTTTCTCTGGGGGGGAGGGGGGGGGGTAAATAAAACACCTACATACAGGTCGAGGAAAATCTCCGCCAAACGTTTGAAAGAGCTACACTCAACTACAGTAGACACGCATTCTTCACGACACTCCTAAATCTACGTGCCAGCACACATGAAACGCACAATACAGAGCTCTTGCTGTACTACCGACCAACGCCACCACATAAGTCAATAGCATTTTGCCACAAGTAAGTGACAAGGACAGAAAAAAGGAAAAGCTTCCAGCAATTATGAGATCAGATGATGTACAAAGAAGAGAAACATAAAACAGTTGCGTTGTTGGCTTTCCAATGTCAAGTCTATGCTCCTCTACGGCTGCTAAACTTGGAAGACAACATTCCGGTACTTAATAATAAAGTCCAGACTTCCATCAACAGATGCATGAGGAAATATCCTAAGAATTAAGTGGAAGGATAGAATAAGAAATGAAGAGCTGTGGGAAAGGACAGGACAAAAGGAATATATGATGTAGTACATGTACGTCGTTGAAGTATGGAACCCACAGGGAGCATGAGGCAGGGGTAAGCCACGGGAAACATGGAAGAGATGTGTGGAAAGGGACATGAGAGAGATGAAGCTCATGGAATGATGGCCCACGACATAGATAAATGGAAGAAGCTTGTATGTGGCCTATACATCTGCTACCCAGCCAGGGGTGAAAGGCATTGATGGTGATTGCTAGATTTAGTAGTACGTGGACACATCATTCAGAACCACTCTTTGGTGACAGACTGCACTGATAGTACATGTACTGGAATCGAGTCTGAGTATATATGAATAAAAACCTACTCTCTTTCAATCTTACAACCACACGGGACCTCCGATTTTGTTGGTCTTTATCCGAAGAAGACTAGGTTCTCCATCCTACCTACCATGATCGGGGGGTGTTTGGGGATCGAACTCCACACCTCCGTGTTGACAGGTGAACACCACACCAGGTAATCTACTGAGCCCCCAGACATTCTCTTTCCCTGAACCTCAGCATGTGCGGCCAGGGATGATTTCATTGCTGTCGTCAGGGTAGTTTCAGAAATAAAATTTTATCTTGGCTAGATCTAGTAGAAGATTAATTAAAGCTGTTCTCTCTCTCTCTCTCTCTCTCTCTCTCTCTCTCTCTCTCTCTGAA